GGAGATAGAAGATTGTATGAAAGCTGTTTGGAGTAGATTATGTTGCTTGTAGCACAGCGATTAAATGAGCTACGCTTCTCTAAATACAGTTTTACTACCATCCTTACCACAAACAGAGCAACACGAGAGCGAGCCCCTCCCATGCCTCGTACAGCTCACTGCAATTAAATGCACATTCATCATAGTGGAGAGCGGAGACGGAAAGTTTCCTGTTTGTGGTGAAGAAAGCACAGTTATAAGTGAAATCAATATTTCTGCTGCATGAATGATATCTAAGACGCATCCTTCCTCTCCCTGCTCTGCTCTACCTCCAGGAGAGTCTGTGCCAGAGTACCAGATGGCCTTTCAGGCGGAGGCAGGGAACCACCCAACATTTGAGGACATGCAGGTCCTGGTATCCAGGGAGAAGCAACGGCCCAAATTCCCCGAGGCCTGGAAAGAGAACAGTTTGGTAAATGTTGTGTGTGAGAGCGAAAGAGCAGAGTGGGTCTTAAAACACTGTAATAATGAAAGATAACAGCCAGCAGGTTGTGAAACACGGACAGAATCTACAGCTGTTGTTATTTTCAGAAATCTGACAAACATCTTCGTCTACGTCGCTCATGAAAATTGGGAAATGAAAAATAATTTTGATCATTTTCGAGCCTTGAAAGTCGAGACGAGTCCAGAAGAAAAACATCGTTTTACATTGTAAAATACTTTAATTGTCTCCAACAAAAGCCCAAACAAAATTCTTGAGAGCTGAGAAACAGGTTGTCTTCCAAAGAAAAATGTTTTATCACAACAGCATTCTTCATGTCAGCCATCATCAAAATGGATCAATTTTTTCCTGCAATATGAAAAAGTCCAGGAATTTTCGCCAGATGACTTGAAAGCCTGTTTTCGGTTAAAGCGTCATCCAATATGAAAATGAAACACAGATGCTGCTTTTCTTTCTGCAACCAAATCTTTATGTTCCGTGTGTCTCTCCTGTTCTTCGCTCGTTGTCAGGTCGTGGCCGATCGCTTCGGTCGTTTGATGAATGGATCACCTGCGTGTTGCTCACCAGCATCAAACTCTGTGTTTCCAAGAACCTTCGGATCAGAAGAGATTATGTTGTGTCAGACAGAACATGAGAAACATGTGCAGGGTCACTATTACTCGTCATCTTACAGGAGCTAACGTTAGCATTAGCAGCTGTTTACTCACCAGTCACATCTGTCTCCAGAGGTGGAAACAAACGCCGACGTTAACTCATGTTAGCATGCTAAACAGCTAGCCCCGGATTTCCAGAACTTGCATGGTGCAGCTTTTAAACAGGATAGAGATGTGACATGTCGGTTGGTGAGAGGTGCTGGTAGGTGGACTCATCTTCAACCCTGTGTGTTGGCAGGCGGTCCGCTCCCTGAAAGAGACGATGGAGGACTGCTGGGACCAGGATGCTGAGGCCCGGCTCACAGCGCAGTGTGCTGAGGAACGACTGGCAGAGCTGCTCCTCATATGGGACCGCTCCAAGTCCGTCAGCCCCACGCTCAACCCCATGTCCACCACGCTACACAATGAGAGGTAAACACACATCTACGTCTGTCGCTGTGCTGCTAGATCCATTGTGCTCTCCTTTTCTTTAACGTTTTCCTGTTTCCTTCTTCATGTTTTTGTTTGTTTGTTTTTACATCAGAAATCGTATGACGCCAAAGTCTGGCCCGTACACAGACCATCCATCCACCTACATCGAAGAGCATGAGGGTGTGGCCAAGAACACACAGACCGACACCACCAGCTCTGTGAGCGGCAGAGCTGTGACCGGGACCGGAGAGAGGAACAGGAACTCCATCAATCAGGAGCGGCAGCAGCAAGCCAACGCCCGCCTCCCCAGCCCAGAGGGTAGCAGCACCAGCATGGGTCTGAGAGGAAGCCCCTCGGCCTCCACGACCACCACCACTATAATCTCTGAGTCGGACGGACCCGCGGGGGCGGCCACGGTCCCCGTCTGCCTCCACCTGACCCAGGAAGACCTGGAAACCACCAAGCTTGACCCGAAAGAGGTGGACAAGAACCTGAAGGAGAGCTCGGACGAGAACCTGATGGAGCACTCACAGAAGCAGTTCTGCTCACCGGACCCGCTGAGCCCCGGCAGCTCCAGCCTCCTGTACCCGCTCATCAAGATGGCCAGTGAGGCCTCGGGCACGTCAGACCCCGCCGCCGCCATGCCCACCACCATCTTCCCTCTGCCCAAGCAGCAGAACCTGCCCAAGAGGCCGTCCAGTCTGCCCCTGCGCACCAAGCCCACCAAGAAGGAGTCGTCGTCATCTTCACTCAGGTTCAAGTTTGGACGCTCAGGCAAGTCCAACCTGCGGCAGGTGGAGGGAACAAAGATGAACATTGGTGCAGTAACAGGCACAAACACGGCTGTCGAGGCTCACCGGGGCGCGGGCACAAACAACATACCCGCTCTACGAGACACGCACGTCAACGGCGGCGTTAACGGCGCTGTTAACGGTCACGCCAACGCTGGTATGTCATCCATGGCCGCGGGCGGAGCGACGGGTTTTGGAGGATCCGGCATAACTCAGAACGGGTCAGGAGCCCTGAGGTCGGACGACAGCCGCCTGAGCCTCGGCGTCATCACAGCCAGCCCCGACGAACACGAGCCGCTCCTGAGCCGAGAGCGAGAGCAGCCCGATCCGAGGGACGCGTCCTCGAGCGTCGCCGCCCTCCGCTCAGCCCGACCCAACACCAACAACAACAACAGCAACACCGGGCACGGCCAGGGGGACGGCGAGAGTGAGGGAGAAAGCGATGGAGGAGAGGAGGAAGGCAGCGGAGAAGGAGGAAGCAGGGAAACTACGGCGCCGCCTGGAGAAAGCTCGGGCTCTGGGTCTGGCGCCACAGAGGAAGCTCCGGTCACCATGAGGGGCGAGGCCCTGCTCAGGCAGCCCAGAGCCCGCAGGCCCGAGAGACCCAACTCCCTGGACCTGTCCTTCACAACACAGGACTTCGCCTCACTAGGTGACTGAACGCACCTCACACATGATCAGCTTTCACCTCCAAGGCTTTGATTTGTCTCAAAATATAAAAAAATATGCTATTGGTTGCATTATGGGAAATGTAGGATTCATTGTTTTTGAATTGTAATCGTGATGCTAAAGTGCCCTAGTCTTGATGCCCCTACACAGCTCTGGTATTGAATGTGTTTCCTGTACCCTGGTGTAAAAGGCTGCGGCAGGATACTGATCTCTGTCCCTTCCTGTTGTGCAGGGGAGGGCTTCGTCCAGCCAGACGGAGCCTTGGGGACGGGGGATAAGATCAAGAAGCGCGTCAAGACGCCTTACTCCCTGAAGAAGTGGCGACCCACCACATGGGTCATCTCCACAGACACCAGGGGGCCCGAGGTCAACAACAACGGGTCCACCCGCGGTCAAGGTCACAGTCAGAACCGGCCCAAGTCCAGTTCGGCCATCTACCTGCGGGGGGGGAGCTTGGCCAGCGAGCCCAGCGACACGCATGTGTGAACTCGGACCCTCTGACAATACTGAAAAAATAACCAGAGAGCGTTTGGTTTCTGTCTGTTGAGCTCTCTGCTCTGAATCAGCAAGAGGAAGCTATGGAGTGTGTTGTGAACAAACAGTCGAGTCTGATCGTGTACAGTAATTAGGTTTGTCTCGCTCCTGTGTGTCTTTCTGATGATGGCATTGCTTTAAATGGAATCCAGCTATGCAGCATTCTCATCCGCTTCTGTTCCTGCTTCTTTTTATTAATCTCCCTTCGTCAGTTCGTTTCATGTTTCATCCCCATGAGCATAGCGGTGTTTTTGAATGGATTTCCTTTTCTTCTATGTGCACTTTGAACCGATTAAAATCAGTGTTTAGAAATCCTGTCTGTTGCGACCACGACGAGAAGCGGTCTATAAACTTAAACTTAAAAAAAAAAAAGGCGATGAAAAACAATCAACACTTTGAGCGTTCTCTTTCTCGTGCTCTGCTGTATCAAGCAACTCGAGAGTCGGCTCTGTAAAAGAATTGACGGTCTTAAAAGACGGAACAAACTACTTTAACTTTTTTTTATTTCTTTGATTTGTATGCAATACCATTTTTTTTTTTGACTGTATCCATTTTTTTGTATCATAATTTTTAATTGTGCAATAGGATGTAGCTTTTAGATGCTTTCAATGTTTTCTTCGCTTCCATTACTTTGTTCATTGTTTTATCCTGTCATTATTTTAAAATGTTAATCTCTCTTGCACTTATGAATAGTCACAATCGTTTTTGTAAACAATCCAACACACACTATCAGCCCCTGACTCAAGAGGAGAACATGGATGACAATCCTCCTCTCTTTTCTTCTTCTCTGGACTATCTTTAGGGGGCACAAACACTGACAACCGATCCCGGAAGAGTGTGTTTTCATGGAACTTCTCTGCTTGCACAATTACACCAGGAATGGCTCAAACTCTGGGGTCTTGTAACACTACAATCATTCTTTGAATCCAATCCACGGAGGGATCTGTTACAGTGGGCGACTCAATCGCTGTACCACTACCACCTGACCTCACTGTGGACTGTTTGGACTGTGTTTCGCAGTCTGTGTGTGACTGAAAGACCAGAAACACTAAGAAAGCCCAGATTCTGCTCTTTGAACTCTGTCGGAAATCAGAAACTAGTCTATTAAAAAAAAAACACAAAAAAAAACCAAACCCCTCCGAAGCACGCTGGATATTATTTCTGCTTCTTGTTGTCTCATCCTTTTGATGTTTGAATGACTGATTCAGTGAGTGTGCGTGTGAATGTGCACGTGTCGTGTTTCTTTCCATCAGCAAGCATTAAAACTGTTGGGGCCTAGCGCTGTACAGGCGTGCTGAAATGTCATTGTACTCATTCTGTATTTTCAGCGCTGCTTCAGGGCATATGAAAAGATCTCATTTATGTTTTTGTAATTTGTAATTTGTATGAAAAAAAACATGTATGTGTATTGCATTGATATTTGCATCATTTTTATGGAGTTCTGTTTTGCATTCAATGGACATGGCCTTTGATTCCATTGCTATGCGTATGCTCGGTACAGTTTCTGTAAACATTTTCAAGTCAATATGGAAGAAAAAAATCTCAATAAATGTATGAAATAATTGTTGGGTTTGTCTGTTAAGGACATGTCTCATTGAGGGATTTGGGCTTTATCATCTGAAAGTATTGTAATAGGAAAAATATCAGTCATTTTAAAATGACATCAACAAGATACTTGCTTCAAATATAGTGTAAAAACTTTGTTCCCTGAAAAAAATTAGCAATATCCCACGAGAGGAAGTGATATTTTACATCTCCCTCTCCTGTGAAATTGCATTTATACAACAGTTCTACGAGCGCCATGTTAGTAAACAACAAGTTTATTTAATAATTTATTTAGCTACGTCAACACAAATACTTCCGCAACTGCTAAGCAACACATAAACAATTTCCTGACGACCATAAATCGTTTAATACAAATGTTATTTCTGGAAGTATATTCATCTTTGCGGTGCAAAGCTTGTCACAATCTAAGATAGATAACGACCGTTAGTGTAAGCGGAGTGATACATGTCGTTAAAAGTCCCAGCATCGTACTCATCAGCATGAAATGCATCTCGTCCAATCAAATTACCTGGCCGGAACTAGCTTGTGTAAGGTGTTATGCTAAATATGAAGCTACGGCATTGTAGATATGTTTGAATAGTTTATCCCGAACTATTTGGTGACTATATTGGGAGCCATACTCGTTTTTGAACATATTGGACAAGAGCAGCAGCAAGTGATAAGTAACGGTTCTGTTACTCAAGTCCAATCCTAAATGTTGTAATGTTGAGTCTCCCGCAAGTCGCTGAGGTCGACACAGGAGGGAGACATTTCCCTTCCTCCACTTGTTTACTTCACTTCTCCTCTCCGCCGTCTGCTCCACGCGCCCTAGCAACTGCAGCATCAGCACGGGCAACGCGGCGTTGGTACGCTACGTCAGAGCGCTGCTTCAGCCGCGGCAAGTTAGACACACGTAGCCAGGACGACACCGGAAATTGACCGACTTGTATTCAGAATAAATTAAACAATTTATCTATCTATCTATCTATCTATCTATCTATCTATCTATCTATCTATCTATCTATCTATCTATCTATCTATCTATATCTATCTATTATTCTATTATTATTATTATTATTATTATTAACAATTATTATTACTATTTTTGAGCTGCTGGACAATTGAAATTCTCCTAGGGGATGAAATAAGTATCTATCTATCTTCTATCTATCTATCTATCTATCTATTTATTATTCCTATTATTATTAACAATTATTATTACTACTTTTGAGCTGCTGGACAATTGAAATTCTCCTAGGGGATGAATAAAGTATCTATCTATCTATCTATCTATCTATCCATAAAACTGAAATACTGAAGGTCTTGACGAATAGATTTCAACACACAGTGCTTTTACATGTGCACTAGTATCCTGGTTATGTTTCACCTATATACAGGATTTTATATTCAACTGATACTACCTGGAGTACTCCAATAGAAACCAAGATACTGTGGCATGTAAACACCTTATCCAGGTTACTGAACCATCTTATAGTGGTGATAAAATCTGGACTCACCTGCAGGCACACAATCAGAAACCTGCATATTATTGTGATCATGCATACAGGGATATAGATAACAAGGTTTGTCATGCTCCATCCAGAATATAATCAATAATAGGATAAGGCCCAAAATCAAGAAACTAATGCAAATGTAAACACACTGACAGGGTTGTAAAATCAGATTGTGTAGCAGCACCCATCACCTTAGTGATATCACTTGATATTGTGCTTTAGTGTTCACCCAAACAAATTTCCACTTAAATTACCAGTTGATCCACTATAAACCTGGAGCTTCTGAGACATAAGAGGTGAAAAACTCTTCGAGTAAATATTTTTATTTTGAAATTAACAACAGGAAGTGGTATGGTTCCACGCGGAGTGCTTCACACTGGTCCCTCTCCCGTCGTGTCAACCTAGGCTAACCCAGCATCACCGCCTTCTTCTCTCTATCCCTTCTGTATTTTGTCTCCCGTTGTTATTTTTTCCGTCTTTTTCCGACACCTTGCAAACCAGGTATATAACGCATCTTCTTTGTCTTTTTTTTCTTTTTTTTTTTTAAACACTCATTTTTTTTCCTCGACCACAAAGCGTTTTGGTTGCCGCTTCAGCCGCGGTGCCGCATCAACCGGGAGAGAAAAACATCCATCCACGACGACGGAGAGGCAGGGTGCGAACACAGCAACGCCCATTTTGACACCTACTGTACCCACGAAGACGTTTTGATATCGTTCATATGTCTGCCTGTTTATATCTAAGGAGGCTTTCCTCACTTGTAGCCGCCGCTCCAGTCCCTCCGCCCTGCCTGCCACCACCGCCTCTTTAGCATCTTCGAGTAGCGGCGAATATCAACAGGGGCTGGGCTGCTGAAGAGCTCCACGCTCCCGTGCATGCAGCACACCTAGATCACATCTCTGCAGGTAAACATGTTTTTTCCTCATATACACACATTTAACCGCAACATCACCTGCTTGAATGACGCTCCTTCGTCATGTGAAGGAGGGCAGAGGCAGTACTAGCATGGGATATGTTTTGATAATGGTGATGGTATGTGTGGGAAGGGGTTGCATGGACTCCCAGTAAACACATTTGGCCTACATTATACAGCACAGGCTTCACATGCAGTGAGCAATTTTTCATTGAGTAAAGTACATCATTTATTAACGTTGTTATGCAGCTAAGAGGTTTTTTTTTTAATGGAGTTGTAAAACCTTATTGTTCCATTATTTTTTATCCAATTACATTCAAATAGGGCAGGTGTGTAAACGAGAGCTCAAATTATTAACTGATTAGTCAATTCAGCAGCATCTATTTTGATATCCATTTATTATGTCATTTTTAAGCAAAAGTGTTCATAATTCACTTGTTCCATATCTCAAATGTGTATTTTTGCTGGTTTTCTTTGGATACTATAATATATAGGAAATTACATACTAGTAAAATTGACCATATTTGGGTTTTTAAGTGTTAAAAATAATCACTTTGGAGGCATCCATTTAAGATTTTGGAAATTGTGATTGTGGGATTTTTCCCTATTTTCTGTTTTTTTAAGCACCAAACGATTAATGGAGAAACTAGTGTATTTATATCCTGTGTTTATGGCTTTGTGTGCAAGCTGGCTGTCCCACTTTTACCCTCAACAGATCAATAAAGTCTATCTCATAGTATGAACCTTTCTGTTTCATAGTGACCTCATTGTGGGAACCGTGTAGCTCTATAAAAGACATTGGTTTTATAGCCCACACAAAGCTAAAATACTGTTAAGTAGCATCTCCGAATAGGTGAGTGTGTGTTGTGTGGATTGACACTTCAGACAGAAACTTGGCAGCAGGCTGAGCGCAATACTACTACCAGTGCTGCAGCATCACTACTGCCATCAGCCTACAGTACAGTAGTAGTAGTCTGCTGATTTGTGGGCACAGACTGAGACAGGAAACGTGGCCGTCAAAATAGAGAGCTCTGCATTTTGCTTGTAGACTGCTGAAGGCCCAAACCCATGTTTACTTACACACACACACACATACATGTTAATGAAGATCAGTCTGCACCGTTCCCTAGCAACAGTGATGTGCGCTGGTCAAGGCCCCTGCCAAATTTAGCTCCAGGAGCAGCGCTGCCAGTCACTGCTGTGCGTTTGTACGTATGCACACATGCTGCATGTGCAGTATGTTGTGAATAAGACTAAGAATAAAAACAAGCTTTTCAGTTTCCATAGAAACAGCCATGATAAAGAAAAACATACATGCATTCTTTATCCTGCAAGGTGCTTTGCATCCATTGATGTATTCTGGAGTCTGTGTGTGCATGTGTTCCCTTATTACTGCTGCATTGTTTTTCTGCTGGTCACAAACATTATATGAAAACTCTGAATATTAATATATTTTTTTGAATATCACAGCTACAATCAAATTGATTATTTAACACATTTTTGCTCAGTATGCTATACTGAAAAAAATCATTTTTGTAAATTACATTACATTGCACACAGAGACTTAATAGAGATAATCAGGGAAATTATAGTTGGAGAGAAGAAATAGTAAATTGAAGAGTTGACTTTATAAGCAATAAAGCGCAGCGTCACTCGGGGGTTTTGCTGCCACAGCCTTAACTTGCTCTGGTATGACTGTTAGCTCAAGACTGTTAGCACTATAGATAGATGTTTCCATTTAACTGACATTATAGAGACAGTTTAACGACTTAATGTCTAATCTACTTGTGCTGCTATGTTTATGCATTTACCATTATCCTGTTCTCATTAGTTTTGTTATTTTAGGCCACATAATAAGGAATAAAAACGTCATACTATAGTAAGGCATTAAATGTTAAAAACACATCATAGTGTAGTAAAGCATAATAGTACAGTATAGTGTGGCATAACAAGTGAAAAAAACAATAAGAAAAACATAAAAACGTCATAGTAAATTAAAGCATAAAAAGAAAGGCATAGAGAATCAAATGCACAATCAACACAGAATGGCCCCAGGTGGGATTCAAACCCATAATCCTCTGACTGTGAAACAGCAGGTCTAACCACTGCACTATCGTACCACTGCTTAAATATGGTCACATTATGCTAAGGCATAAAAACGTCATTGTATAGTAAGTAAGGCATAAAAAGTGAAAAACCGACACAGTATAGCAAGGTAAAGCAGTCAAATGTCAAATAGCTCAGGGCTGGAGGGCGACTGTAGAGAGCGAGCGGTTGTGGGTTCGAATCTCATTTGATCTTAATACTTTTCGGGACCAACACACAGAGGAAAGGCATCTGAAAAATGATGTCCAAATCATATTTTTAATAACTACTAACAGTTTTGATTATTGATTAAAATCAATAATACAAAGGCCAAGTGAAATTTGGTGTGTGAGTTTTATTCACAACAACAACTGATGTCTGTGATGTCAAATTACAGGTGATGGTTTCTGTCTTTTATGGGGTTTGGAGGGAACACGAAACAGTCAAAGCCACAACATTCAAAAGTGAGCACTTTGTGTATGAGGAAGAGTAAAATATGTGAAGATAAAAGAAATCGTCTTACTGCCCTGCAGACAGTCACCCTCCTCACGCAGTTCAGTGTGATCTTCACAAACGCCCGTCTCCACCTGTAACAACAAATACACCGAATCTGACTGTTTTCACGTGCTACAAATGTTTGAGCTGCAGTGAAAGATGTAAAAAATGACACTTACACTGTGTTTTATTCCTAAATATTCAAGTGGTTCACTCCTCCACACAGGTCATTGGTGGTGATAAGATAAAACTGCAATATGCCAGTTTTAATTGCAGTTGTAAATGCTAAAAATGATAAGCGTTTTAAATTACAAGACACTTCACGGATCCAATAATGTGGCCCTGTCACTGCACACCTACAGTACGTCATCAGCAGTTCATTCACAAATCACCTGGCCACGCCCATTACCTTTTCTCATTGGTCGCCACCTTCCTGTCTTATGGACAGCCGCTCCTCTTCACTACAACATGGGTCAATGCGGCACATCTCAGTCTGAACAGTCAACAGCTGGAGTTGGACTGGTCTGCTGGACTCTGCTGGTCCTCCATCTGCATTAAAACAATACACATGCACATGTACTGACAGGTGTTTTTGTTGTATATGTTGCTCCATGACATGTCATGAGTGAGAAAGACTGAACAGCTGACACAGGAAATAGGAGGAGTTAATGTGCTGTTCCCACACATGTAAACTGGACTCATGCCATTGCAACAAACTGTTGCCATCAAACAAAGATACACACTGTTTTCTGCATAGCCTTATCTCTTAACTGTCAACGTTATTTATATAAGTCTGGAGTCCAGTTAAGATGTTTGAAAGTCAACACAGATGCTTGAACATGTGGGACTAACTCCACTGAATAATTTGGTTATTTTCATTTTGAGACTACTAACTTCTGATTTACTTTGACATGACTTCAAGTCAATGGAAGAGCGACACAAAGGCACTTCATGTTACTTATTTTCATACTTCTTTAGTGAAATTTCATTCAATTCAAATTACCCAAATGTTTGTAGCGTGTGTTCCCGTCCATGCTACCTCCAAGCCAAGGTGAAAGGTCAGACTGTCAAACAGGAAGTGAGTGAATCCAATTTGGTTTATACGAGGGGGAACCCGGATCGTACTAAGTGGGGTAGAGAACAGAGGGGTTGCTGCTGCCCGAAACACTAGTTGTACAGGTTGTGTGTTGACCGAGCAGCTTCAGCAGTTAGAGAGCTACTCTACAGACTCAGAGGTTGTGTCTCTTGCTTCGGGACCAACACACAGAGGAAAGGCCCTCTGACTGAGTAAGGTATAAAGACGTCAGAGTAAATTAAAGCATAAAAAGAAAGGCATAGGGAGAACATGCAAAATCAACACATAATGATCCCATGTGGGGTTCGAACCCGCAACCCTCTGACTGAGAGACAGCAGTGCACTAATGTACCACTGCAAAACATGGTCATATTATACTAAGGCATGAAAATATCAAAGTACAGTAAGGCCCAAAAAGTGAAAAAAAATTAATTTAAGATTAAAATGAGATTAACTTAGTGTTTTATAATATCCACATGTTTTTCAATGCAAAACAGTAATGTAACATTAGAATTTGCTGATGCCGGCAGATTCCCTGCAGGGGCCCATGGGTGGACCCATGCACCACTGCAAAACATGCTGCTGCAGCTCTGAATCAGGGTCACTCGGGCAGAAGCAGGCCCCTGCCCTCAGTGCCCCCCATCCCCACCCCCCCACCCCTTTAAGCTGCTCTAATGCCATTAACCAGGGGGCTGTGGGTGACTTAGAGGGGGGCATATCCGCTCTAACCAACATGGGACGGATTAAGATCAATCTCTCATAGACACAAATGTTCACACACACACACACACACACACACACACACACACACACACACAAACCTAGACAGACAAAGCTTATCCTGCCAGCCAACTGTGTCTGTTGATTTGTTTGTGTTGTTGACAAATAACTTGTTTACATCTCTGGGCGGACCTAACTCATCTTGACTCCTCCCTCTCTCTCTCTCTCTCTCTCTCTCTCTCTCCTCCTCAGACTGCATCAGTGGCCTTAACCTTCCACATCTCTCTGTGGTTCTCCTCCGTGCCCCCCCCCCCTGCCTCCCTCCCTCTCTGAGCTCTCTGCTCTTTCATTCTCCTCTTGGTTTCCCGCCATCGCGTCCAGCTGTGGCCCTCACAGGGCGCGATCGCTGGCGCTCACCTGACAGGTCCCTGGCCTCAGGACGACAGCCAGCACCAACACGTTCCCTACATGAGGGACAAAGCGACGCAGGTGAGTGTGTGTGTGTGTGTGTGTGTGTGTGTGTGTGTGTGTTAGCGCTGAACATGGAAGTAGAGCTGAGGCTTATAGGAATGTTCTGCAGGTGATTACCATCAAAGAACAGAAATGAATAACCTGACCCCATGGTCGCGCTACATGGACATTTAAATGATAACCACAGTCATTAGGGTTCAGTGAGTCATGTATCTGCAAATGTTTATGGCAATGAAAGGATCAAAGTGCTGGAGTGACCATTTATGACAGTTCAAGGAGTTTGTCCAGCAGCGCTCAGATTTTGTTCCTCAGGTGAAGTGCAGCCCTGCAGGTTGGAGTGGTTTCTTCGTCTGTGATGAAAGTCTTTGTTTTTTAATAGAAATCAAAGTCTTTCAAGAAAATGTGGAAATATTCTCACTGCACTGGCAGATTACGTCACGTTTAAAAGACTCATTTAAACAATAGTCACTTGCTAAGAAGGATATTTTTTTGCAGTAATCTTGTGACCCCCGTCTTGATTATCTTGAGGACCCGTTGTGGGTCCCTACCCCCGGTTTGGGAACCATTGCCCCAGGGTATCAGACACTGCAGACAGATGTTAGATGTTCGGTTGGCATGGCGACATTAGAGGCAGCATCAGCTAAGTCGCTGCTAACAGAAGCATATTTATACATATTTAACAGAGTAACGGCATGTCTGTGGAAAGAAACATGTCAGGAAGTTAGGACTGTGGATGAATTACATTATTTATGCATTTATTAATCCAGGATTAAGTCCAGGTCTGGTTTCCATGCCACGTTTTTCCTCCTGATTTGGCTTCTTTGTGCTAGTATTTGATATTTAGCTCTGACCTGTGTTTGTGTGTGTGTGTGTGTGTTAGACCCCCAGGGCCTGGGCAGATGAGAGGAGGAGGGGCTCTCACAAACGCTCGGCCTCCTGTGGGAGCACCGACCAGCTCAAGGAGGTCAGTGTTTCAGAAACATGCTCTTTTGTGTTTTAAATAAACACTGTGTGTGTGTGTGTCACTGCCATTAATGTGTGTGTACATCTGTATGTCTGCATTACAGTGTGTGTCTCTCTGTGAACCTCTCCAGATTGCCAAATTGCGTCAGCAGCTTCAGCGCAGCAAACGCAGCAGCCGCCATCGGAGGGATAAAGACCGCAAGTCCCCGTTCAATGGCAGCCACACCATCATCCAGTCGCAGGTGATCAACAGATCGATCTATCCATCTATCTGTCTAATAATAACTTTAAATATGGAGCTTTAATGTCTTTTCTGTCAACATCTGTAAACAGCTGCAGAATCTGTATTCACTGCAGACAAATGTGTGTGTCCTGTGTTTTCTTCTTCAGTCCCCGATGCCCAAGACCATTCTGATACCCATCCCTATATCCAAGTCATCGGCCCCTCGCTTCCGCAACAGCGTGGAGGGTCTCAACCAGGAGATCGAACGCATCATCATCCGGGACACCCCCGAGAAGGACGAGACCATCGTTGTGAGTTTCACTCGCTGAGATTTCAGGGTCATTGTGTCTGAAAATGTGTTTTTTCTTCTTCACTGACTAATTGACATTCAAGGATTCACAGGATTAAACCTTCGGTGCGATGTTGTTATTGTGACCTCATTTGTGTGTGTGTGTGTGTGTGTGTGTGTGTGTGTGTGTGTGTGTGTGTGTGTGACAGCCACAGGATGTCCCAGATGGGCACCGCGCACCCCCACCTGTCCCCCCGCAGCGCAGCAGCAGCACCCGCAGCATCGACACACAGACACCCTCAGGGGGCGGCTTGAGTGGTAACCATAGCAACTGCAGTAGCCGCCCCGACTCCATCTCGCCCTCCTACCTCACCGTCCTCAATGACACGGGTGGAGGCAGCCCCTACGAGGAGAAAGGTGATCAATACACACACACACACACACACACACACACACACACACACACATTGTACACATGCTCTTCACACACGATGTTTGTGTGTGTGTGTCCTCAGAGCTGGGCCCCTGCTCCCCGCTGCCTAAATACGCTGCCTCTCCCAGACCCAACAACAGCTACATGTTCAAGAGAGAACCTCCAGAGGGCTGCGAGAAGGTCAAAGTGATCGAGGAGTCCATGTGAGTAGAAAGACAACACAGACAGAGTGTTAGACGATGACGGAGACACCCACGGTCTCTCCTGATTGGCTCTCATCAGACTCGACTACCAGTGGGGAATTCAACATGGATAACGAATTACAAGTAACTAAGCGGAACTAACCGCCTCCTGGCCCTAGCTTCATAGTAGGTGTTTGGACATACGGAGGACTAACGGACAGGATCTGGGCCTTTCACATCTGTAACCTGTGAGTCCTTTAGTTTTATGGAACTGCGACACCACATTCGTGCCATGCTGCTTTCCCGAATAACAGGAAATGAAATAATTGGCTTGAAGTCATCAAAGAGATCAAAGAGATGGAAACTTTGACTTTTCTTATTTACTCAGAAATCACATGGGCAGGGTTTCCTGCAGCGTTTTATTGTGAAGGCGCCCCACCTCACTTGAAATAAAGGAGGCATCCGCTCAAAGGAAATTACTGTTGAGACAATAATCGTATCTCTCACCTTTCCTCTATTAAATTTAATTTCATCCCTCTGTTTGTTTAATGCTTTAACATCAGGGAGGAATCATGCTAATCATGTAGCATCGCAGTGAGACTCGCTGTCCATAACGGTGTTGTGTTGATGCCCGGCACCTGTTCCTCCTTTGTTGTTGTGGATATAAAACTGACAGTAAAATGTGAGACATGTTTCCAGCTGTGTGGTGTACAGTACATGACTGTGTCCCTGTGTGTTTCCAGGCCCAAACCTCTGCAGGAGATCCCTCCCTTCCTGTGTCCCGACCGCAACAAGGTCAACTTCATCCCCAACAGCGGCTCTGCCTTCTGCCTTGTCAGCATCCTCAAGCCCTTACTCCCCGCCCCGGACCTCAACTTCCGCCCCGGGGTGGGTCTGCGAAGCCTGTCCCCGTCCCTCGTGCCTCTGTCCACCCAGCCCTGCCTCCTGGAGGAGCCCGAGAGTTTCTGACGAGGCGTTTTAAGTCACCACAAACCCCCGAAACAGCCACCCACGAGAATTGGAAAACATTTGAAACTAGGAAACAACCCTTCAGCTCCAAAAAATGCCTTCAGCATGCCAGCTAAGCTCTCTCTGATGTCCTTATCTTGTTGAAAAAGTGCTTCCCACTGCCTCTCCTCCTCAGACAACTACAACGTGAGAGTCCTGCAGCCCAGTGTGGGTGTTTGCAGCCAACATTTCATCGCTTTCTTCTACCTTTAGTGCTGGTTATGTTCCTGTTTTTTGGGAGGAAAAGGGTAAAAGGACAGACTCTTTTATTTCATCGTATTATACCACATAATACGCCTTTCCACGGACATATCTCTTTTCTATCTCTAGTTATTTCTCTTGATATAAAATATGCCTTCCATTAAAAAAAAAAAAAGGCCCGCAGGTTTCCTTGGCGACCAAGAGATTGACCATAGAGGCTAATTTTGGTGCTGCCAGTTATATCGTAGCAAAACCTGAAAGGTCGTGACAAGGAGAAGTTAAAAAATGTGCCTGATATTTTCGACCGCTCAGTTTCCCCAAACCAGCGTAGCGCTCTGATCATGTTTGATCTTTGTACTATGGTGGCCATAGATACACACAGAGGGGCGGGGCTTAGCCTCAAAAATACAAGGTGGTCCAGTGTCCAGTGCACAATATACGTAGACCACCTGTGAGCCAAATCCAGACATCTGTTTTCAGCTGCTTCCAGTGACAGCTGACTAAACTGGTACAAGCTGATGCCTTTGTTACACTAACTGGTAGCAGTGAGCTGGTCCCGCTGAGTGGTGTGTATCTATGGGAAACACAGGCCAGGGCTATGATGTGTGCAGCGTGTTCAACCTGTGTCTGCTCGCCCCTCCTTCCCAAAGCGCCAGCCTTTTGCTCACAGTGTCCTTTTTTTACTCCACCGCCATCACAACCACAACCTCCTCCTCTTCTGCTCCTTTTCCCCCTCCCTCTCTCTCCTTTTCTTTCCCTCACTGTCACTGTAATGCTGATTTCCTTCTGTCTTGCTCAAACTGTGTTGTTGTGAAATGTGTCCAGAGGGGCCTCGTCCCCCCCAGGAGAGACCTCCTCTGGCTTGCAGGGCTCTGGACATGGAGAGGTCGTGAACCCAAATGCTGCACTGCAGACTATTGGGAGTATGTTGGGATGTTCAAATCAGATACAACCAACCTTTTTTTTCAGTAGTCTGACTTACAAATGCTTTAATATTAGTAGCTGGTGATCATAGTGGAGCATTTAGACGCCAAAGCCAGATGGAGACAGAAGGTTAGATGTCCAGAAACACAACCCCAAATGAATGCTAATGTTGCTCTAAATGCTAACAAGGCAGGTTTAAATATGCATGACTTAATAAGCAACAAAGTTAAAGTTTAAAAAAAACTTCCTGTGTGGGTGTGGTTAAATTAAATTTGACTGACAGCAGCCAGGCAACATAAGACTTTAGCTGTGTCCCAATTCAGGGAGCCGCTGTAGACCGCGAAGGCCGAATAGAAATGAGACGGCCTGGTCTATGGAGGATTTACGTTGTGCGTCACTTGCCCGCCGTTACCGTTACGTACTGCACGGGGATTGGTCCAAAACCTCTATTTTTACGTCCGCGTTAGGACGTCAAATTCGTACGTCTTAAGACGATATAAAATGCTGAATTTACAATTTACAAAGACTATATTTTTTAAATTACGTCTTGACGTAATTGACGTACAGCCGTTACATCTTGATACGTTTAAAAAAAGAAAAAATATATATATATGTAACGTCTGTTGACTTTATTGACGTCTACTAGACGTTTCGTCATCAACCGTAACTGACGTGTACAGATGTTACGTCTGAAAGACAATATTTAAAATAAATAAATAACGTCTGTACACGTCAATAACGGCTAACGACGACATAAAATGCCATCTCTGCGCGTCAGTTACGTCTGAAGACGATATAAAAGAACCCCTGTAGACGTAATTAACTTGTAAATACAGTTATTCCAGTGTCAGACTGTTTGATGACTCTAAGTCTAAAAAGCTGATTAAAAACTAAATGACATGACTGATATCTGAATTTCTGAGGGTAGGTTGTCATGGTGATTGAAGTGTAGTACTGTTGGTTGACAGCCTCTCCGTGCGCCTGGTCCACCCTCCTGTATATGTCATTACTACTTGACTGTGCCTGCTATGGTGGGATAGGAATGTACTGGATTTGTAAATATAGAGGCACACTGTGTTTGTATTATCAGCTGACAAAGATATGTATCTGAATGAGTCAATAATTGTACCATATAATACCCCCTCCTCCTCCTCCACCTCCCCACCCCCCTCCTGTTCCTCTGCTGAGTACTGTGAATTACTATGTCTCATTATTGTGAATAATTATGTATTTATTTATCAGACAGGAGTGTAATTGGGTCTTCAGAGAATTTTAATCAAGAGTAGATTACATCGTCCATCTCAGGTTGTAGTGAATAGGAAACAAAAACAGATAAACTTACTTCTCAGTGCACACTAACAAGTCTACACTACTTTAAGTGAGCAAAACAACAGCTGCTATTTCTGTAGCCTCACACAGTGGAAATCCTGAATGATGTAAACCTGTAGCAGAGTAGAAGTGGGTGTTGTTTGTTCAGTGACCTGATTTGAGTTAACAACCAGTTGCTAAAATGGTTATGTAACAAATAATGTCTTTAAGAAACAAAGAGTTCTGTTCCAAAATGAGAGATATCCACGTGCTGGAAAACAATCACACAACAGCGACATGCTCTTATTTGTCGTTTTTAGAAATATGTTTACAGAAAAATAAATAAAGTAGTTCGAAAGAGCAGATTCATATATGTCAAAAAAATACAGATTTATTTCCAACTTTTTCTTTTTTCAAAGTGGATAAACAGCATTTTGGAATGAGGCTCCACATAAGAAAACTCAACACAATGATGATATGTTTGCTTGTCCAGTTTATTGGAAACAGAACTGCCAAGTTTTCATCTGTTAAACTCCTCCAGTGAAATAAAAAGGCATAGTTGAATTAAATGAAGCGTTTGTGATTGAATTGAGAAATACATTCTTATTTTTTAAAGCGTGTGAATCAACAGTAAAAAGTAAAATACATGAGGTGACAGAAATATTAATACAGTTGTTCCCCTGTGACTGATGTTTAAATGCTGCATCAGAAACAAGAAAAAAAAAGCATAGACACTAATGTGTATAAAAGTATTCGTGAGTTGTCTTACTCATAAAACATGAGGAATTTTTCCCATAATGCACTCCGATCATCTTAGCTAGCACAAATGTCATAACTGAGGATTTGGTTTCAGTCGGTGCATGTACAAGTTTTCACATCTCAACAGAAAGCTGAAGCTTTGCATCGTCATTTTGCACCAAAACCAAAAAGGTAAACATTCAAAAATGTCAGTCTTGGTATTGTGTTCCCTCAAAAACAAAACTGAATCAGTGGGAATTAAATCCACATCAGGTACATTATAAATCCATTGAGATGGTAACAGCTCTCCAGTGTTGATTCCTTTCCCTTACAACAATATATATATCTCACACAAGAGCTAAAAATATGAATTATTTTACAGTGTTATTTAATAGTGTTACTTTATCTTTACAGTGTTGTGCAAAACAATTAACATCTGATTTTGCAGTGACAGTGATATAATCTGGAAATAAATACATTTTGCTCCAGTTTACGTTCTGTTATTTGTACATTTGTAGGACTTCAACAACCCACTAATAATAATAAATTCCCTTTGTCCTACTTACAAAATAAATGTTTCATCCTTCACACATTTTTCTTGGCCTTGGACTTGTGATTGTGAAACTTTAACCACAGATGGGACAGGAGATGATTTCAAACATTTCCTGTTTTGACTCTACATTCAACCCAACAGAATCTGGAATGGAAAGTTAAACAGTCAGTAAAAGGCTGTTGGCATCACAGAAGCTTAGATCTCCACTGCGCCTGTAACCTGACACCATCCGTCCCCTCCGAGGACGAGATGGTTCACAGCTAATCACTGACTTTAGACCTCTAACTGAATCCCTCACAGCTCTGAGAAAGCAGAGTTTTCCTTCCGGTGATCAATACATTGCACGTTATTTATCCAAATGGTGGAGTCTTCAAGATGGTCTGTATTACAAAGTGAGATCAGTCTGCTCTGGCTTTAAAACAACAAACTATTAGCTGCATAAGTTGTGGTTCAGTTCCCAGATTTTTCCTAACACATTTATTCTATTACTGCACATCAGAGTCTAAAAACATTCCCTCCTTCTATCTCATTAGATTATGACTAAATGAAAGTCACTGGGAGCTTTTAATAGGAAATAAATATACATTGTTAATTTAATCATTATAAATGCATTTCAGTCAGATAGACTTCATCAGATATTCATGTTTCATCAGAAGACACTGAGTGTGCGGGGGACCGCTCTGTGAGGCTGTGCTTTGAGCTCAATGCAAACATCATACTCATATTGTCAATGCTGAGGATTGGCAGGTAATATTAACCCACTTGGTTTAGCATATGAGCATGCTAACATTTGCTAATTAGCATAAGTACAGCTGAGGCTGATGGGAAGGACTTTGCATCAGTTTTTTGTCCTTTACGACCAAAAACCTGTAAAATCAGAGGATGACATTGTTATGATTCATCCTGTGAACCTCAGGATGGCCTATATAATAATTCCTACACTTGTTTACAGCCTTACAGAGGTGCATTGTGAAAAAAAAAAGAAGAAGAAAATTAGACACCTGATCTCGTAATTACAGGATAAGGTGTTTTTGTGTCTTTACATCCTATTTTCTCACCTCTGCTGTCATGGCTGAAGCTCGTGTCGTATCAAACACGTCACTCGTGTTCCTGACGATGTTGCATATAATTAATAGTTAGCTCTCTGGCTGGATGAGAAGAGCCAGAGTTAAAGCAGAGCCAAGTGCTAACCAGCTTCATGATACTGGAGGATCACTGATGTGAGGCTGAACTCAGCTTTGTGACACAGGCCTTTGGTGCAGTTGGAGCTTCGCTGCTGTTTCTGTGCAAACACAGGCTCAGTGACAGGAACAGGCTCCCACCTCATCTCATACACACCACGTCCAGTTTATAATCACTCCTGTGTGACAATCATGTGCTACTACATATAAACAACGTAATAAGAGTAAATAGAGTCTTTTTAATATCCTGTGTCTCTTGTGATGTGTACACACAGCAAACCGACACACACCCAAACGATGCAAACATTAATAAAAAACAGAAGCACACAACGCCGTCCAGAAGCAACCTGGAATACAAACACTCTCCGCCTGACAGAAGCCGCAATAACAAAGTGAAGAGTAACACAAACCACATGAGGTCTGCTGTGTGCACGAGTCAGTGGCTTCTTGTGTTAGTGTTAACAGTCTCTGTCAAAGCTGCAGCAGCAGTTCAGCCACTCACTAACAGAGTTTAACCATCGTCTCTACTGACGGTGTAAAATATCATCTTCCAGTGTAACAATAAGATCGTATGTTCAAGTGTGGACACGTGCACACGTCTCTCCATGTAACAGAACTGCAGGTGCATGTGTGAGCATCATGTCTGTGTGTGTGTGTTAGATCATTTACTTGGTTGTTGACATGAAAAAGTTGCTGACATCCAGATTCTTGAAGAGAAATCATACATTCACAAACACACAGGCGCGCGCACACACACACACACACACAAACACACAAAGGGCTTCAGGCATTGAGCAGCTCATCCGCAGAGCGTCCAATGGCGTCTGGGTTGGAAAGAGGGTCCAGGTCTGCGAATAGGTTGAACCACGCAGACATGTCTTTGGATCCACTTGGAGCAGCTGTACACACACACACACACACACACACACACACACACACACACACACAAACGATACTGTGGATCAACACTTCAAATAAAACACAGAAACAGTGTAAGATATGGAGCTTTAAGCACAGAGGAAACAGATCTTACCATTAGCTGCTGGACTTGGAGCCGACTGAGCTGATTGGTTCTGACCAGGAGGAGGCTGCAGAGGCGGAGCTTGGAACATCGGGGGGGTTGACCAGCCTGAAAGATGAAGTGGGGATGAATTATAAAAAGTAGTTCATATTCTTTCTGCTGGTGTTAGTGAGGCGCAGTGAGCTCATCCCTCCAGCAGAGGGCAGTGTGTCTGACCTGTGGCGCTCAGACTGTGATCCAGCAGCTGGGAGGGCAGGAAGCCTGTAGGGCTGGGGGGGTCAGAAGGCAGACGTGCCGCTTGCCCACTGCCCGTTGCCACCGTGGCTGCAGGTTGGACTTTGGGAGGGTCGAACATCCCGAAAGCATCCTGCCACTCTTTGCTGAACTCATCGCTGGCTCCTGGTCCTGGACTGAGGAGATCTTTGAGGAAAGCCATGTCGCCCTTCTCACTGTCCTCCTCCTCCGGTCTCAGCCCTGTCCCTGCAGGGTGGGGGGGGCCTCCTGAGAGCAGACCGCCACCTAGAGAGGGGAGGGGGAACGAAAAGAGGGGTGCTTTGTAAGACCAGAGTCAGCTGATTTAAATGTGAAAAAGTCTCATTAGAGGTGTCCTACAGTAATTTCCACACAATTCCTGTTTGACCTCAAACTCCATTTGTACAATCGAGAAGTGGACAAAGTAGATAAGTAGATATCATCGGGGTGAAGCTATTCACAACAAGGCCAATCGTTTATTTCCTGGATGTTCACAGATACGCTCCAACATTAGCAACAAGAACAGAAACCTATGTGTAGCACAAGAATTCACAGTTCTACAGGGTGTTAGGTGGTGGATTATTTCTCAGCCAGAGCCAGTAAATGCTATGGATTAAACAAACTAGATATTTCGTGTTAATGAGAGCGTTAGAGGCGCTGGCAGAGGGACTTTGTTACCTCTGAACGGAGCCAGTTTGGCTGTTTCCTTGATTCCTGTCAATATGCTAAGCTAACAGCTACACGGTGTCAATCTTCTAATGCATTCCTGGCCAAGGAATCAAACTGGCGTATTTCCCAGTATTTGCTTTCAGCGGATCGTATTTCAACATGACATTGGTATTTTTACACGAAGCTGCTCTAACGTCACTGCGAATGCAGAAACTCAGACGTGAGATTGTTTTTTCCTAAAAGACAAAAGGTGAGGGAAACAAAGCCTCACACCAGCAGAGCACAGCGATGCAGATCTAAAGTGCAAAAGGAAGCAGAGGTGAAATCCCAGGAGAGGGGAGAAAGCTGAGAACCAGTCAGGCAGCTGGAAAGAGGAGGAAACAGTCAGCCAGTTTACCAGTGGCAGGCAGCTGTGAGAGGCTGGACGTGAGGCTTCCAAAGCCCCAGGCCTCATCCTGGTCTCCACCCTGAGGAGGAGGCAGGAGTTGGGGCTGCAGCGGGAGGTTTGTTGGGAGCTGTGGCTGCGGCAGATCACAGGCCATGAGCATCAGACCGTCGTCAGAGTCCATCGACAGTCCTCCGAGATCACGCAGGGCTGAGGTGGGCGTGGGAGCTTTTTTGTGCGCTGAGATCAAAGTATCATAAAGCCAACAGGTTTCCAGTCCAGTCAGCAACAGCAATCCCAGTGTACACAGTTCAGCTATTTACACAAGGGCATCAAAACACCAACACAGTTTCTGCAAAGGTTCTCACACTCACACACACACACACACACACACTTACCACAGTCACTGGCTTGGCTCTGTCCATCACTGCTGTGGGCGGGATCTGGAAAACAACAAAATAAAAGTCATGATTTTTTTATTTGACAATAACAATGTGAATCTAAAGTTAGTTTCCTCTGTGTTTGGTTTCATGCCAACTGTAATGAAGGTACTACCCTATTACTACACAAGGGTACGCCATGAATCAGCTGTTCCAATCAGACAGAGTGGAGGTGCGCTTGTGCGTAAGAACACAGTAGTTCAGCGGTTGAGAAAATGTAGTTCCAAAGGGAATGGTCATTTAACGGCAGGATAACGCAGTGAAAATATTCAAAATTAAGCGAACAACTTCGACTTCATTCATTTCCTGCACTTCAAGTTGCTAGTATTTCCAAGTATAACAGAAAACTGAAATACAACATCATGATTTCTGAAATGGTCCAAAAAATACAGGCCGTGTTTCAGCCTGCAGGGGGCAGTACACACCTGCGTCAGAGGCACTTCCTGATGGCTTGTCGTCATCCAAGGACACCAGACTGAGGGAGAAGGAGGGAGGAGGAGGAGGAGAGGGGGGGGGTAATGAAATGTGGCTCATCTAGCTGGCGAGACGTGGTTTTGCTATTTATAGTGATACAGCAGTCTTTGTTTAATTCAGAGCGCAGCGAAGTTTAGATATTCAACAAAACACAAAGGACAGAACAGAGAGAGTAAGAAAATACAGAGATGGAAAGTGTGTGTGTGTGTGTGTGTGTGTGTGTGTGTGTGTGTTAATGATGACAGGGCAGAGACAGATGGTACAGCAGAATGTGTGTGTATTAGCACCAGGTTCAATAACACACATCAGACTGTACTTAATTCATTAATGATTTACTAATAAAAGAAATTTCTGGTCACATGAAACAAACAAAATGAAAATTCATCATGTGTGTTCGATGTGTTCTCACCTGTCCGTGTTGCTCTGTGGAGCCTTCTCCTTCTTATCCGCCTGTTTCTCCATCTCTGTTATCTGTTCCAGCGGATCTCGCAGGTCCTGTATGAGAGATAAAGTTAAAGACGTTATTAATATTATTATTACAGTTGGAGCGCTGCAGTCAGAGGCAGCAGTGTCTCTTTCGTTTGACCTACCTTGAGTGTGGTGAACTGGTAAGGTACGTGTCCTTGGAAGGCCTCGTGGATCTGCAGCATGGCGTGGGCCGTCTTCTCCCAGAACTGCAGCAGAGTGGTCTGCCAGGATCACAGACAGGTAGACGGGTAAAATACATCGCACTCAGCCCACAGGAAAAACAAGTGTTTACTAGCGAATCTTTTCAAAGTAACAGCTGAAATTCTGAAGTTAAGTTAAGTTTACAAAAGCCTTGCAGGTGTCTGTCTCGCTGGATTCACACACTGTCTCTTGTCTGTTTAATCCACTAAGTGCACTAAAGGACGTTACTGCACTGTAAAATTACAAGCTGTTGTTTTTGTATGGATTAAAGAATCACAGGACACAGCCAGACTAAGTGCTGCCCCCCCGTTTCCTGTCTTTATGCTAATGCTTTAAACACAGACGTGAGAGAAGCTGAGCACAATCCAGTTTTAAAAAGACACACACCTGGTAAGTACAGAGGGAGTGGGAGAGCATGTTGCAGCGGCTGGCTCCCAGCATGTCCACCTTCTGACACACATCATTCTTCAGCTTCTCAAACTGGCTCTTGGTCCCTCTGACCTGGGCTTGGACCTGACGACAGAAAGACAAACAGACACAACGGTGTGTGACATCACAGAGAGAGAGAGAGAGAGAGAGAGAGAGAGAGCGAGAGAAAGGGTTCCCATCTTAAACTCAAGTGAACGTCCTCTGACCTTGCGGAACTTCTCCAGCTGTTTGTAGGTGTCTGGGTCCAGTTCTTGGGATATGTCCTTCATCCAGAGCAGCGCTCCTCTGTACTCTGTGCGGGACTTCTCCATCCGACTGACTGTCAGCAGCGTGTCGGCGATGGCGCGCCGCCTGAAGGTCTCCACTTCCTGGTGCAAACGGTGCAGCGGAGGGCAAAGTGCCATCCTACAAAAAACAAAAATAAAAATAAAGATACAGCAGGAGGATGTTGGAGAAAATAATCAGCTCATATATTCAGTTCTTTGGCACTCAAAACATTGATTTCATGATTTTCTGCTGCTGCTGACCTCTGCTTGGCGGAGGTGCACAGGGCCTTGCTGGTGGCGTCCATCATGTTGCCAGCCTTGGTGCGATCGTGTTCGGCCTGGAAGCGCAGAAACAGTCCGAGCTCGTTCTCCTCCTGAGACAAGCCTGTTACAGAAACGATGGCAGATTATGGTGCAAGATGAAAGTTTTGACTGCACATTAAGCTTTGTGTGTAAATACGTTGTTATCAGGAAGCGGAGCCCAGATCATAAACATAAAAGCATAAATATAAAGCTACACCTTCTGTTTGGGAAAAGACTGTGATGACTCCTCTTGTTCGTCAGAGAACAGATCTCATACAGTCATTTAGTTTTGACTGTGACTCACGTGAAATCCTGTGCTGGTACTTCTCGATCACCTTCAGCAGCTCTGTGCACGTGGACTGAACCGAGCGGAAGAACTGAAGAGACAGAAAACAGGCTGAATCAGAATACTTTGCTTTACACACACACACACACACACACACACACACACACACACACACACACACACACACACACACACACACACACTGTCTGGCAGAGTGTGTCATTAAGGCCACTCCAGTGCTGCTGTCTGATGGAAAGGGGAGAGTGGGGGATGAACAGGTCACCTCACCTTTCAGAGACGGAGGTATAAATGAAGACTCAGGACGTGTGTCTGTGACGTTCACAATGTTCGTTTTGCAACCTTATAACATGTGATCATTTATGTCAGTCACAGGAAACAGATTACAGACAATAGGTGAGACTGGAATTTTCTTTTTGCCCGCCATGGAAAAACTAAGTAGGATTATGGAAGCAGAATTCATCATGTCCAGATGAATACTGTCATTTTAAAGCTCCATATTTTCCTCTTCTTCTGTGTTTTATTTTGAAGTATTGATCCATAAGAAGATATATTTGTGGTTTTAAGAGCCAGAAACAGAAAAAGGAGGTGAAGAGGAGGCAGGAGAGGAGGAGGAGAAATGTGATGACGGCAGAGGAGCCCATCACGAGCGAAGAAGGAGGCGTGCAGACTCAAAGTACTGTACCCAAAGAACAGTCTGTGTGAGCAGGTCCACAGTTACCGCCTGTCCAGGACCAGCATCCTCAAGAAAACCTTCTCCTGAACTCTCTATCTCTCTCACCCTCTCCCCCACTTCTTCTCGGAGGAGCAAAAAGTGCAACTGTAAATATACTTGTTTAATTTTGTTTGTAACTTTGATGATATAAACTTGTTTAACTTTATATCAAAACTTTTCTGCATTGAGAACATGTGAGCTGTACCTGCCGTTAAGTAGCTACACAAAAGTGATGGTCATGTCCTTAAGACCGTACGAGAGCCGAGGGTGGAGATGATGTTACTGATTAACTCGAGAATAAACAGTCACTACTTTCAGTCGGACGGCAAACACCTGTCAGAGTCAGAGCTGTGCACAGGCTCCACAGTGACACGAGCAGAACCGATCACGTCATCAATTTAAGGTTTTCTAAAGACAATGAAAATTAAAGTTATAAACTCTGAAACTGCATTTTGCATTTAGAGAGAGTTAGATTTGTTCTTACTAATAAACTATTGGCGTTCCTTGATTTTTAACTATTTTCTTTGCTGATGGCTGAGAATAATCGACTTCATGAATATTGTCTGTGTTTTATATCTACCAACCTTAAAACACTAAGTGACACTAAACAAACCAAATAACATTATAAAATCAATCAGGCTTGACAACCTGAATGAAATATTAAAGAATAACTAAACAAGAAACCAAAACGAAACAAAGGCAAAATAAATCAAACTCTGCATTACATAATGTCTTTCAAAAGACAAATACTGAATAAATCTAATCTGATGTTTCATTCACGAAACCCTCAGGTTCCAGAATGAAAGCAGCCGAGATGAAATCTGAAAACGCACCGAGGCAACGCTGAGATACCGAGCGCATAAAAACCACGTTAGCTGCAAGGCTCCAAATCTAATCTGTCCTGGTGAAATCTGAGCTCTGCCGGATCACAGAGGGCTCACAGTCGAGGTGAAGTTTGTGAAGGAAGCAGAGGAAAGCAAAAAGCTGCTCTACAAAAAAAAAAAATCTGTCTCAATTTCTTCTGGTCTTTCTTTTTTTGTCCTTCAACACTTTCCCCTGTTTGCTCATTCTGCTTGTGTCTCACGGCGGCTGAGTCGAGGGACAGTGAGAGCAGGAGGACAGAAGAGGCCCGATCTGGTTTCAGAGCAAACAACAGCCTCACAGTGCATCTCCAGCCGCTCGGTGAAACTCCACCACGTCACCGTCTCACAGGACCACGCAGCCAGACGGCCCGTCATAACCACAAGGCCAGCCAGGTTTCAGCCAATCCAAACTGTCCTCTCCGAACTGCAGCGCAGGTGAGGAATGACTGAGAGGCAGAGGGACGTACTGTACTCTGCCGACTCACTGTTCACATCTCTACATAATTAGAACCGTTAAAACTACAGAGCAAGAAAATAGCTCTGCAAACAATGGACACAGTGTAGATGTTCTGAGCGTCTTTGTGTTAACTGAGCAGCTATACAATGTGTGCTCCTTTCCAAAACTTCCCACAAGCTTCATTTTATTTTTAGAAGCACACGCTGCAGAGATGGACGGTAGAAACTGGGGTGTATGACTCAAACACCGAGGGTAGAAAATGATGAATCCCATTATGGCTCAGCATAATGTGCACTAACTATATTTGTTTCTTCTCTGTAGCTAAAACAGTTTTGTCAAATCATTTAAACCCAGTTTTCCCCCCTTTTTTGTCTATAAGCTTGGAAAGCACATCAACTACACAAGATTCATTTACTGAAGTTATATGATGTTCAAACTACGGCTTTTATGGCAACACCGTTCCATCAAATGGAAATATTCCAGACGTCTTGTGCGTCATATTTGACACCAACACATTTAGCACATTAAGATCTCCAGTACAATCTTTAATAAACCAAGTCTGACTGCTCAACATGAGTCCGTACCGACTGAACCAACAATTAGTCAGTGACGTTTTACCAATGTCCGATTATTAAAACCTCTGAATGTAAAGTAAAGAGAGCATGGGAGAGAGCGCACGGTCTCTGCAGGCAACAAGTCACACAGCTGCAAAAGGTTTAGATTTTACAAGCTCCACAATAACTCATAAGAGAAAAGTCCTGGGAAAAAACTGTTCATTTAGCACCATTTCTGGTTTGCTGTTGTGCTTTCTAATGATGGTTTTGGCAGAGTGTAACGCTCCTGTAGTTTTTGGATTACAGAAGAGAAACCAAACATGGTTCCCTGGAAAAGATCTAGTGCTTAGGAAATGGCGACCACTGGTAGAAGAAAACAATATGTAATAAAATGGCAGAGGTAGTGGTGAGTCTTTACAGGATAAAGTAATAAACATAATCAGATGGAGCATTTACAAGACTGTCCAGTGAAATATAATTGTGTTAGTATAAACATTGGTGGAGTCAGAGGTAACTCAGTTTGTGCTGTCGCCGAAAATCCTGAAATCCTAAATTTCTCCTACCTCGAGCTTGGCGTCCAGGTCAGCGTCTGACGCCACCACATACTCGTCCTCCTTCTTGCCCGTGGCTTTGATGAGGACCTGCTTGGTCTTCCAGAACTTCTTCTGCATGCGAGCCATCACCGAGCTGTCCTCCCCGAGCAGAGCTCTGCTGCCGCTCAGCATGTCCCCCGCAAACCTGGTGACAGAGCAGCAGTCCAGTCAGCGGCACAGCTGGGATACAGCCGGGCTTCTACCTGGCTGTGTACTTCTGCTTATAACAACAGTGCTTCATATCATAATAATAGCTGCAGTTTAACAGTGATGTGGTTAAATATGAAATTCACACATACCCGTCCATCATTGGATATTTGCTTGTTTCTGTTTTGACAAAAAAGAACAGATATTAAGAATAAATACTTGTAAAAGAATGTGTAAGTCCATTAGGATTCATATTTTTCCTTGTTAGATAAGATTTTATATAAACTGACTGATAATGAGAGATATACTCTCAATGAATGAAATGACTGCTGCTCGTTTCCTGTTGAATTCTGCTGAGATAAGAGGCATCATCCAACATGAAAACCGAGCTGACAGCTGTTCCTCCGGTGAGTTATAATCGACTTATACACCGTTATCACAGGTTATCTGTGGCTGGACAAAAACTCATGGGAGCTAAAGGCTAAAAACCTAATCTAATATGGTTGTTGGAGCTGGGATCAAACACCTGCGACTTAAGAGGAGTGGAGAACTGGGAGCCAGCTGGCTGTCGAGCAGGTGTTCAGTTACAACCAACGCTGGCTCGAGGGCGCAGAAAGAAAGAAAAACTCAATGTGGCGTTTATCAGTATTGTGGAATTAATCAATAACTCGATATTAAAATTTAAACAAACGTAACAGTAGTCGAGAAAAGCTGCCAGAAAACGTGAAGGAGCTTGTGTGCTAGCAGCAGCTCAGCTAGTAGCGGGTGTCGTTGCCAAACCCGCGAAATGTCTTCACTTTACAAGCGACACAACGACTCCTTTGTTATAGTGAGATATTTCATTAAAACAGCCGTTTTAACTCTACCTCGCTTTTAGTTTCGTCCGGCAGTCCGAGCATCTATGCGGCGCAGGTCGGTTAGCCTCCTCTCCCGACAGCCATCACCATCATCTGAGTCAGAGAAACAGGATATGCAAAGTAGCTGTGTCGCTGTTTGGACACGCGGGGTCGCTGCTGTTGAGGTCACACCAAAGATCGTCTGTTGAGAAGATGCGCCACTTCAACGAATACCGAGATACTTCTTCACCCTGACTCTTCTGTGAAGTCAGGTTGTCGATTTCCACGACATTTTACGTTCCCAATTGTTAACAAAGCAGCATTAGACATATTTATTATTTTATTTTTTCGATAAAGCAGACTCTTATGTAAGAAAGTCTCAATTATGAGATAAAATTTGCATCTAAATTATGGGATACTTTGGCGTGAGATCTCTTTAACTTTATCATCAATATTTTTTTTTCTCATCCATGGCCCTAATACTCCTTTGTAGGCTTCCATAGGGACTCTATTTACTTTGAAATGGTAGTATGTTATGACCGTGCAGAGTGAGAGCTCTTCGTTTCATCACATCTCTGGTCAAACCTGTTTGAGGAGAAATAAAGTCTCCAGTTATTCACCAGACAACTGTTTTTTTTTTTTTGCTTTTGTTGTCCTTAAACATGAGGAAGTTGATAAGGAAAACCAGTTAAAAATGGTTTAAAATCACACCACTGTCAAAACAGTGAACAGACAAGACATTTTGAATGATATAACTGGTCTTTGGATGTTTAATTAAAGTAAGGAAAAAAGAAAAATCCCAGCAGGAGACCACATTATTGAATTATAATTGCATGAATTAGCAGGTGTACAGGTGTTTCTCATAAAGAGCTTGGTGAAGGTATATGTCAAACCTTTCCTGACAATATTCAGTATCACTGAAAGCTGCTGTCTGTTTTGCATCCTCAAATGGCCTTACACATGGTTATAAACTAAGAACCACTATCAAAATATCACAAAAATAAAGTTCAAGAGACAGACGACATTTTAGGAGACAAAATGAATTTATAATTTGTTTTTGCTTTGTTTTTTTTGGGTTACAGGAAAACAAAGACAACCCGTAAGAAAATATGTGTATAAACTGAGGGGGTTAAAACAACCAGGACAGCAAAAGAATAAAGCGAGCAAAGTTTGTACAGTACAAAATACTAAATCACTGCTGCCTTCATCTAATTGTCACTGATGTTGTGTGTCTGTCCATTCTTATGTCCGTGGTGATGGTTCTGCAGTCCATGTGAACTCCTGGCCTACGCCCCCACATCTGTCCGACAGGCTGAGTATCTGTAGGTGTACAGCTTGTTATCTGCTCCTCCACTCAACATCAGCTGGAAACACAAACAGACGACAGAGACAGGAAGTGAAGTTATACACTGATTTCACGTGAGGAGTTGAAGTCTTTGAGGAGAACAGCTGGAGTGTCTTACCCCGCTTTCTGTCCAGTCCAAACAAAACACTTTGTCCTCGTGGGCCGCCACGTCATACAGAGGGGCCTTACAGCTGGAAGACAATATAACAACATGCATGTGTTAAATTTACTCAGTGGATGCCTTTAACAAACAAACCTATCACACAAAAGATTAACGGATATAAGAGACTCAAAAAACAAGAGATTCCACCTGAGTGTCGAGGTGCGGTTTGAAGTATCGGCTGCGACGTTTTATAAACAGACAGTATTTTATTCTGACAAAGACAGGAAGCTTGTTCCAGACAGACGCGTCGCTGGCAGTCAGCTGTTTACTCTCAGATGTGTGGAATGAACAGGATGTCCGTCTCACACAGTGAACAGTGTTGATAATGATCCAGCTCATTGCTCTCATTAGCTACTGGAAATGAAGTGAATTTCCAAATTGTCTTGACGTGGCAGAAACACGAGATAAGTGGGAGATTCATGGAGTAAACCAACTACAAAAAAAATTAATTCCAACAGGAATATGTTTCTGATCAGTGTTTAGAACAGAAATTCAACAAAGCCCACAGTGGATTATGTTCTGCACAGACCTTCTGGTGTCCCACAGTTTGACAAGGTTGTCAAGGGAACCGGAGACCAGCTGGTGCTCATGTGAAGGCGCCCACTTGACGGCGGTGACCCAGCCAGTATGGGAGGTTAGAGACAGCAGCACCAGTGACCCGTCTGGAGAAGAGAGGAGGTATTTATAACCACGCTGTTGGATGATGTTTGACAGGAAGTGTGGTGTTTTGAGGACAGTGGTACCTTTGGTGCGAGGGTCCCACAGTCTGATGTGTCTGTCGGTGCTGCCTGAGGCCAGGCGTCGACACAGAGGTGAGTAGGAAATGCAGTTGAACACTTTACTGCCCGTCTGTGGAAAGGACAAAAAACTTCAGCCTATGATGGGAACTGCCAAATAAAGAGTGACATTTTCACTTAAGCATTTTAACAAACAGCTGTGACGATCACTGCTTCTATTAAATTAGGAGGATACAGTGAGCCCTCACTGTTTTATCTGCTTCAACCACCGTTTTGTTTTATATGTTTTTATCTACTAAAACTTTCTGCTAAAGCAATAGTGTTGGACACATACAGAGATGGGGTCAAAATCAATCTAGCAAAATCACATTATCATGAAATTAGTCATCAGACTTTCCAAATTATATGTAGCCTAGAAAACGTTTTTAAATACTACGCACAGAGTGGTATTAATACACCAGAGAGAGAATCGTTACACCCCTGGTAAGAACAAAAAGCGGCTGATATGAGCACGTCAGCGGTCGCCGGCGCAGAGGCGTAAAAATCATTCGGTCTGAATCAGTGGAGCTTTGACCCTCTGCAATGTGTCGTCACTGCTTCTTTGGCAGCCTCTCTCACCAGCGTTGTCTTCATTCCTCCAGTCTCAACGTCCCACACACGGATGGTGTGGTCCCACGATGCACTGCAGACTTCCTCACTGTCGCACCAGAGGACAGAGGACACTGCCTCATTGTGCCCGGACAACGTCATCAGGGGAGTCTGCGTCAGCGTGAGAACATTAGAACATCCCTTCACATGTACCATCCAGCATGTTTAAAGGTCTAGGTTCTATATTAATACTGTGAGAGTATCAAGGAGATGTAAAACTACACTGATCTTATGGATCAACACTTGAAATAAAACACAGGAAGAGTGTAAAATATGGAGCTTTAACATCAATTTATATCAGTTTTTAATCATTACGAGGTCAGGGTCTGCACTCACCCTGGTCAGGCCCAGCTGCTGAGTCTTCTGTTTCTTCCTCGGTCTGTCAGCAGTTTCTTCCACCTCGTCTGCTTCATCTGTGGGGACTGACAGCGGAGGAAAAGGTTGTCACTCACTGGACAGAGATTTGTTCAGTAACGCTTAAGAGTCATTCAATCTTTCTGGGCACATACCTGCGGACCAGATTTTCAACATTTTGTCCCAGGAGCCACTGCAGAACTGAAAGGCAGCAACAGAAACATTAGACACGTAAATCGAAGCCTGTTTTTGGCTGACTGTTTTTCTCTGCACTACAGCTTTACCTTCGAGCCGGTGGGGTCTGTGGCAACAGTGTCGACGCTCCCCGTGTGTCCCCGACAGCAGTGTCTGGCTTTCACCTTGTTCCTCTCAGAGTTCCACTCCCACATCAGGACGGTTTGGTCCAGAGATGCCGTCAGAAGCACTGACGTCAGACCGTCTGCAGAGAGAACATCCACAGAGAACTTTTATTTCGAAAAGTTGTGATTATTTACAACAGAGCAAATGTCTTCCATTCTGTCCTGCTCACCTCTTTTAACCCAGGCTACATCTTTGACGACATCTGTGTGTCCGGCCACCGTCATCACCGCCTTGCCCTCCGTGGACCAGATCCTGGCCGTCTTGTCATAAGACCCTGTCAGGATCCTGCACGAAGATACAACAGTGTTGTGACTGCAGTGCATTTCCGATTCACAATGAAACTAAAACTGCATCATGTTTCCATCACACAGACACTGGTATTAGATAATAAAACAAACCAAACTATCAAATTACATCCAGTGACATCCGTCATTTTACCATTCAGAATCTGCATCTACGGCGCTAATCCAGTCATCATGCATCATACACTCCTCAGGCTCTGGAGCTGTGATTCGCTCCACGTACTCGATCTCCACCACATCTTCCTGAAACATAAACACACACACACTTCAGTTGTTATGCTGCCGTTTGTACATTAGTGACAAAACACAGAAAGCAGACACTCAGGTCGGTCATACCGTTGATATGCCTTCTGTATCCATGTGAAAGGACAGCGACGATCGCAGGAACTGACCCCTGACCAGGAAGTCGAACTCCACTTTACTGTGGGACGCTGTGGAAAACAAGAAAAATAATAATAAAAATAAGTATTGAGATTTTGTGATGCTTTTGATTTAATTTTGACTCAGCAGAAACAACAGGAAATGTATTCAGAGAGTTTAGCTTTGCTTTGCATAACGGACAACTACAAAAATCCTGGAAGACAACTATTTAAGCAAAGACTAACATTAGTAAAACTTTAAATTTGGACATGCATTGGACCGCACGTTTAAAAATAAATAAAATATATCTTTAAAGAAATTTCACAACACTCTGAAAACCTGATGTTATGTTTTGACAATATGTTTCCACAGAAGAAAGGATGAGTAGTTTTTACAGCTGGAGAATTGTGTGGCAGAAAAAGTTAAACATTTTCAAGTATAAATAAAGATTATTTTACCATCTTTAGCCAACAGTAGCTTGTTGATAACATTGCTGAGGTCCTCCACTTCAGAGCCAGCTGGGATGGAGAAGGGAACATCATCTACAACATACCTACAAACATATTGAAAACACATTTAATGGATTAATTTGCCAAATGAGTCGCAGTATAAAACTGAATCTTCATATGAGGAAAGCAGTCAGTCATATCTTTGATAATGAGGGGGGGAAACAAGCGGAGTGATGTCTCATAACAACGCTACTGTTTACTGTAAGTTAAAGCTAGTTAGCCAGCCGGCTAGCCGCTCCTGACGTTTTTACTTTTCTGTTCCGTTAAAAACAAAAGGAAAAACTCGGAGCTCACCTTTTGTTCTCGGTGAAGAACCTCGCCTGTAACTGCGACATTGTTCTGACTCGTGTGTTTCTCTAACAGACCGCCGGCTGTAGTAAAGTAAGGAACGACTTCACTCTGCTCCTTGTCGTGCAGTCACGCCATGTGGTACGGAGCAAGGCATCTCAGTCGATCACAGATGAAGTCGATCGATGATTTACTGCAGCGAGCCGGTGCTCGTCTAGTAATGCCTGGCCGTATTAACAGTCTGATTTCACCTTTGGCCTCTTTTCCTCTTTTCAATGAACCTGTAAGAAACCAAAACAAGTTGAGTAAAGGGTTTTGTGTTCAAACAGGATTTTAATTATGTGTATAACTTTTTAAATTATCTTTCTAAACCAATTGTGCAGCAGTTCTCAACTGTTTCCATCCCACAGCCCACTTGATAATCTCAAAAATGACTCTACACCTGACTCTGTGACAAAATGGAGGCCAAATAATGTTTTCTTAGAGTTTTTATTTTATTTAATTGTATTTTATTTTAATAACTGGACTGAACTGAAAGCAGGGGAAACATGTAGGAAGCTCCACAGTAGCTTATCACAGTGATAGGCCTTAATATAAAAAAAACATTTTTTAAATTCATTTCAATTTAAAATATCTAAAAAAATTATTTGCATTTTTATCTTTATTTTTAATAATTAACCTTTTTTCACCAAAAGTGTTTTTGCAAATGATTTGTCAGCTCACTTGCATTATCTTCATGACCCACAGGTTGGGAACCACTACATTAGTATATTTTCTTGAAGCCAGAGATTTTTATACATAACACGACATGATGTGAAGGTAGTAATGATTCACAAATTTCAGTTTGCTTTGAAACATCATTGGAGTTGTTAAAATTAGTCACACCTACAATAGTGCTTGAAAGGTGCATATTTATATTTTACTTTATTGATTTGTCCATTATATGTCATTGCCTCTTTAAAGTTATATAGTCTCCCTTTGTAAATGTAATGTGGCATCATTGTCAACAGTTTGATGAAGATTTCACTTAAGATTTGATAATCAAATGACAGTGTATTCAATCAAACCACAACATTACACAAAAAAATGTTTATTTCATCAGGGCGGATGTTCACAGTCTCCGACTATAAAAAGATCAGTCACAAGAGAACTGGGAAATGTCATCAATTCATTGCTGTACATTGACTTTGATACATGTCTGATACAGATGTGTTCACAAATAAAGATCAACATAAAATCTGTCAAAGCAGGAAAGTGGGTTACAAATGCATTAAACATCTTAAAAAAAAATAAGATTTACATTATTCACTCATTTCACTGGTAATACACCTCAGTTTTAAAACGTGAGCCAATTATAATTTTTTTGTCCTTAAACAAGGAAGTCTTATTCTGATGTCAACAAACAGACAATGCAGTAATTACCCTTAATAGATGTAAATGCGTAAGACATAAAACTAAAATGACATAAAAACTAAAAGAAAATATATACACACACGCACACACTGCTCTCTTTTCAGTCATCGTCTTCTTCCTCTTCCTTTACCTTCTTTTTCTTCTTCTTTTTCTTCTTTTCCGAAGACTGGAGGGAGAAAAAAGGTGAGCGGTTAAAGAAATACTGAATAAAAATAGTGGCAATCGCTTGATTGAACCATCTTCAAAATGATGTTCACACCTCTGTTACTGCTAGCTCCTCCTCTTCCTCCTTAGGTTCCTCAGTTTCATCATCTGCTTTCTTGTCCTTCTTCTTCTTCTTTTTCTTCTTGGGAGTCTCCTCCGCTGCTGCTGATGTTTCCGCTTCTTCCTCTAAAATAACAAAATACACATGGAGGCACAACCTTGAATATCATGAGCCCTCAGTGCAGATATGAAGACAAAGCATCAGATTCTCTCCAGATTCACCCACCTTCTGTTACTGGTTCCTTTTTGGGCTTTTTCATTTTGACCACGGGCGTTACAGGCTCTTCCTCCTCCTCCTCCTCTACCTCCTCAAACTTCCTCTTCTTTGAGGTGGAGGGAATAGTGGAATCGCCAGATGGATCGTACATTCTTACTTCACTGTAAAGAAAAAACGTGGGTATTTAACACCCTTTGTATAACGTGGAAATGTTTAATCTTTGGAAAGGAGCCGTTGGTGACGACTCACCTCTTGTGCTGGTATTTGTCCGACTTTGCCATTGCTTTGCCCGTTCCGCTGATTCTTCGGATCTAAAACAAAGAAAAAGAAAAGTAGATTACATTAGATATTACTTACAATCCTGAAATGCTAAATGTTATTTCTAGTGTCGCTGTACTTACTCCCTTCTCCTCCAGCTGCCGCAGCCTGGCCTCCAGCTTGGCCCGGTTCTCTGCTCCCATTTCTGCGTTGGTGTCCTCTCCCAGGGCGTCATAGCGAATAGCCAGGGACGCTTTAGCTGCCAGCATTCTGGAGATCTGGTCCCAAAACAAGAGCCGTGCTTATTATCTGACCATCAGACTGCATTCACAGGTCTTTACTGAAGGTGTGCACAGACTGAGCTTATGAGTTTATTGTAGACATGTTTATTGAAGAAAGTCCACTGTAAAAAAGCGCTTTAAACTCACCTTGCCCTTGTTCTTGGCAGTGGTCTGGCCCACTAGAGAGGCGTGGTATATGAGACCGTACTTGGGCGTGTCTTTGCGGGTCTTCAGGGCTCTAAACAGAGCCTTTTCTGCGCCGAGGATCTGCACTGTGGAGGCTGGATGCTTCGCCAGATTCAGGAGAGAACCTTAGAGACGGAGTGAACAGAAGACGCGTGAACCTGGTGTTCTCACCAGAACCCGCCCGTTGAGAACGTCTGATACGAGCTCAGATGAGGTAGTGACTTAAAACCATCAGTCGTCTTCAGGAAAGTGACGTAATGTCGTCATCATCACCGCTCGGTCGGTTTTCGCACAGTTACTTCTTCAGGACTTACCGGCATGTGAGATGAGACGGGCGCCGACCAGCTCGCCCACCATTACTGTCAGGTTGGGGGCGATCGCCATCATTCGGTTCTTCAGGTAGTCGTAGAGCTGAGCGCGGTAGTCTGTAATCTCAATCACCTGTGGGAGGAAAAAAACGGAGGAACACGTTGTATTACAAATGCAAGAAGATAAACAATCAGATAATTAGGTACAGACAGGAGTCCTGGCACGTGACTGTTCAGATGAGGTAGTGACTGAAAAACCCACATAAGTTGTTTCAGGATAAAGACAAGTGTCAACATCATCACCACTGTCACATGATCTCTCCGACGGTGCAATGAAAAGCGGTCTGAACATGTAACGAGAGGCGCATACCTGATCACACAGGTGCCTGATGTTGCCGATGTCCTGCTCCGACACTTCTGTTCCCATGGAGATCTCAGCGGCCAGTTTGACCTCCGCCTCGATTTCCTCTGGGAGGAGGTCTGACAGATCAGAGCTGGACACGTTCGTGCGGTCACCTTGAGACACACAAAAAACACTTTTAGCCAATCAGGAATGTTAACTTGGCGTTGCATTATGGGAAATGTACGACATAACAGGTACTTAAAGTCAGATTCTCTTTTGACCACTTTTTTGTTATTACTGTCTCTTGAAAGTCTCCTAATATTGTGGAAGTGCAGCCCTAAATCAGAGATTTATTTTTACCAATCTTGCGGACGGTTTTGCAGTAAGCCAAGTTGTCTGTGACGACTTTTCCGAGCTCAGGGAAGTGCCAGCCGTACCACTCCCTGCAGCGCATAATGTAGTTGTTGAGCTCCTTATCCAGGTCGTCCAGAAGAGCTGAAGACACAGGACAGTTAAAGTCAGACTACATATTCACATGCACGACAGCAGACCTCAGTCATCGCTATAGGTGAAGCAATTAATCATTTTAGAGTCTTTTTAAAAGCAAAAATATCTATTAAATTAATATTTTATAAACCATACAATCAAGAAAATATTTGTCAGATGACTTCATTGTGAAATTAATCTCCACACATAAATGAAAAGAAAAAACAACTTACAAATGGCCTGCACAATCATAGTGTCCACCTTGTCTGGACTGAACTTCAGCTTGTAGCGTGATAAACTGGAGAAACAGGGGAAAAAAAGACATTAGTGAGTCACTTCACACTAACAATTTACAGTTGTCCTACATCAAGTTACGCTGTTGCCTCAGTGGTAGTGACGAATGCTGAGAGAAATCTACAGGGAAGATTCAGACAGCAAATGTAATCACAGGCAGCAGTCGTGTTCAGACAGCACTATATTTATGTGCCCACCTGTGAGCCAACCCCAACGACATGGCACTGATCTCCCTGGGTGGAAGTCCAGTGATGAGATTCTCCATCTGGCTCCTGATGCATCTCATCAGTTCAGCCACAGCGGGGCTGTGGACACAGCTCAGGTCCAGCTTTTCCTGTAAACCAGAGCTCATTAGAGACCGAGCTCTTGCAAACGATGCCTAGACACTGAAGGTTAATCATATACAAGATGGGTCACTTACTTTGATAACTCCGCCGAGTTTTGCATCACTGATTGCCAGCTGCTCATGAGCCTCCTTGGCAACGATCTTCTTCAGCGCTTTCTTCAAACTCTTGCCAATTTTTCCCTCAACAAGGGCAGTGGCAGCTGAAAGGCAGAGGTTAAGAACAGTCCATCACATAAACTGATGCAAAGAACACTGTCAATCTTATATCTACCACATAATCTAGATTCTGTTTGAAGTCATAGTTATAAATGTCACAACTACCTTAAACTACCTGCTTATATGAAACTGTGTGGTCTCAGTGGTAGTGACGAATTCTGTTAAATGCCTCATGTTTTAATCAGACACAGAAACACATCACAGACCGCAGATCTCAGGAGTCGACTTGAGTACAATGACATGTCATTACCTGCTAAGGCCTCTGTTGTGTCCTGAAACTTCTCAAAGTGCTTCAGCTTCACACTGGCAAGGGGGGAAATAAAAAAGTGAGGTCAAACTATATCCACTGTGCATCAGCAACAACTTGCTGATAACATATAAAGCACCAGCTTCTCTGGGTGACTGAATGCCACATTAACACTTACATCTTGTTCGCCTTTTCAGGAGTTTCAAACTCCTTGTACAGGCTGTCGACCTGTTGCAGCTTGGATTCATCGAGAACCTTAAATATAACAAAACACTTAAAATTAGTTGTCATGCATTAAAAAAGGTTGGATGGGCACTGACATCCAACAATGATAGTTAAATGTCTTAACACACGAGAAAACTAGGATTTGTTATATACAGTGATCGCGTATAGTGCTAATTATGTCACAGTATCACCATCAACTACTATATTTCCACGTGTGACTATCATGCTGTGAGAAGTAGTCAGTTCACTGTGCACACGTGGTTACAAGGCCTACAGACTGCTAACTTCACGTTAACCTTAATCTTAGCAAAAACACTCGTACGAGCAAAACAACTCATATTTGCACATTCATCTACTTAAATAGACATTAAAAGACCACATTTTTTCATTTTGGTAATTTCCAGTAATGTTTCATACTGGTGAATTACCATGAGCTGTGGGTAGCTAGCATCGGGGCTAAACCAAGCTAGCTCAAGTAGCTCCTGCGTAAAATTAACTTTGAATGACAGGAAACAAAAACTGAAAATTTACCTTGAATATCGCATAACCAGCGGCGGTCTCAAATAACACGAGCATTTTTGCAGTGGCTCGGTTATTTGGTAAAGTTTAAGTTGTCTCTACGTAGGGAGCGATCACGTCTCTCCCAAACTCACCACGCTTCTTCTCTCACTCTCTCTAACGCACGCGGCGAGAGAGAGCAGCAGGAAACTGCTGGGTTGCCAGGTCCGTTGACATCACCCGTTATCAGACATAAACTTATGATAGTATTGATATTTCAGCTGGTTAAAGACACGCCACATATTTTCTTGTTTATCAAAATAGTTAATATCTTATCAATGCTGTTTGTGTTTCGATTATGTTTGTAAGATTGTGAATGTATGTTTATTTAAAAAAAAAAAAAAAAACAGCAACACAGAGTTTAAGTATGATGTAAACAAGTGCCTTCTAGTTTATGACACGTTATACGTACATAAAGGGTTTATGTAGTGGTTTTGTTAATCACTACTCATCAGGCCGCAGCTGGACCTCACTGACATTTTTATGCAGGCGTAAATATTTTTAAATATCTGGCAACCCAAGTGGAGCTTTACATTAAATCTCGCGAGACGTTATCGCAAAACTGCCGGCTTTTAAAAACTACACCTTTAGTAAAATCACAGAGAAGACAAAGTTGTAGTTGAGCACGTTATGTACAATTTCTACAGAAATGTCATGACTTTATTGAAAACTACATTTAATATATTTTTTATTTTGGCTTTTTTCGTGTCTTTTATGTTCTTCCTGTTCTCGCGGAAGTGACGTACGTATGTATAGACTAGAGCAAAACAAGCACATGTGAGAACAGCATCGAGAAAAACCCTAGATTTACTTTAGATAAACTGTCGACGTGAAGGACGGCATCGAAGAATGAATGAACCTGGACATTATCCTTCACCGGACTTCGGCTGTCCTCCCCCCAACACCATTCAGCCCTTCCAGCAGCACCAAAAGCACCAGCAGCAGCAGCCCAGCTCCAGCAGCTTCCACCCCAACATGTGGAGCTGGTGCGAGACGCCCTCCGAGCCCAGCTGGGACTACAGAGCCCAGGCTGGCTGGCATCACGGGGCAGCGCCAGCGTTTGGTTTCCCTCCAGGTCGTGGAAACCATGGACCTAAACGTCCATACGGTGAATATTCCGTACAATATGAATGTCTGTTGATGGTGGTCAAACTCCAAGAGTGACTCCAGGATATTCCAGGACTTAAAAGTTGCTCCTCACTGTAAATGTTTCTGTGAAGAACGCTGTCATGCCTCTAACTTCTGTCATGTCCTCAGGTCAAAACTTTGGTCGTGAATGGCATCAAGGTGGGAGACAGAATCACGGGCCCCTCAGCAACCATGGCAAAAAGGTCAGATGAAATCCTGTCCATGCATTGGTAGGATGTTGTCGTAGAGCTGCAGTGCGCTCAGTGGTGACCTGCTCTGTCTTTAACCCACAGCAGAGAAATAAGAAAGAACCAGAGTATTCCCATTATTGTGACACTTGTGACCGGGGTTTCAAAAACCAGGAGAAGTATGATGAGCATGTGTCTCAACATGTCAAGGTAATTTATCACACCCGATGCAGTATATTTAGCTCCACTGTGACCATGTTGCGTATGATGATGATGATGATGATGATGAATCTTCACATCTTCCTGACTGCTTCAATCAACTCTCACGCAGTGCTCTGTGCCTGACTGCAGCTTCACAGCTCATGAAAAAATAGTCAGCATCCACTGGAAAAATGTAAGTGAAACAACATTGTGTCAGTGCTGAATATCTGCTGTTGTCATCTGCTCATACCCATGTTTTATACCCTGACAACAGAACCATGCACCAGGAGCAAAAAGAATCAAGCTGGACACACCGGATGAGATTGCAAAATGGAGAGAGGAGAGGCGCAAGTCAGTATCTGAACTACTAATGACTTTGTATCGTAAGATGATCCATATTATCTTTGTTTTACATAGATGTGGGATGTAATGTAACGACTTCATTAATATTTCCAGGAACTATCCGACACTTCAGAATATCGAAAAGAAGAGAAAAGTGATGGAGGTGCGGGAGGAGACGGGCGGCGTTCTAGAGACAGCTCAGTTTGGGTAAATGTACAAATTTGATGTGTAAATTTTTTTTTATTGCAACCACAAACAAGAATTTATTTGCCCTTATTTACTGTGACATGAGGCCTGAAGTGATTGTATCTAAATCTAAACCTTTGTTTTATTCACAGACGAATGAGAGGCAGAGGACGAGGACGAGGACGGGGACGGGGTCGAGGTCGCGGTTGGGGGAACAGAGGGTTCCAGGATCGACACTCTCGAGGACCAAACTCATTGGACAGCAGCGCTACACAGAGACCTCCACCACTCTCCCAGACCTGCAGGGACGTGGATCCACTGGGAGCGCTGGCCAGCAGCGACCACGGTGAGTGACCCGTGTGGTGGGGCCACGGAAAAGGATTTAAACAAGACCATGTCCCATATGAAAGGCAGGGATTGAATCATTTAAAATATGTCAGCTGATGTACATCGTCACATCCATCATTTTATTTTGGGCGTCATTGTCTTCATCATTAGTTTAATTGAAGCTGCTGTAAGTTTGATATTGTCTGTATTTTATCAACAATCAGTTCTTCAATTCTTCAGGCTCTATGTCTCAACGTATTCAACTTGAAATAAAATAATGATTACTGCATTTAAGTGCCAAGTTTCAGTATTAATTTGAGAACGTTTCAATCAATGTAGAAAGAGCTGTGTGGGAGATACAGCCTTAAAAACACAAAGTCTTTGACCCACAGACATCACCAGACCTAGCCTGACAACTGTATATTTCAATTCTTTTTTTTAATGTTCCACCAGATTCTGACAGAGAGGATGCAGCTGCTCAGTCCAAGTCCGGTGGCCTGGTTGTGGCTCCTAAACAGATGAGCTCAGCTCTGGGCTCCTTGGTGGCAAACTACGGCTCTATGAGTGAGAGTGACGAAGAACCAGAGAGTGAGTGTTTGTCTTGCACGCAGCGGTGGTGTGTGTCAGTAAGAGTCATCGTATGTCAGTGGGGAGTGAAATGTGGCAGTGGAGACATGTCATCAGTGGTGGAAGAAGACCTCCGATCTTTTACATAAACAAAAGCATCAATACAACAATGTAAAAATACTCCTTTACAAGTAAAAGCCCTGCATTCAAAATCCTGCTGAAGTAAACGTACAGTATCCGGTAAATGTACTTAATCTATCAAAAGTAACAGTAGAGGAGGAAAGGTGAAATCTCTCATAGACATCTGAAAAATGATACTTGCATATTGCCCCTACATCACTAACATCCAGTGTTCCTATTATCCTATTCCTTGTGTTTCAGCCATCTCTATTCAGAAAGCCAAAGACCTTGTGCAAGAAAACCAGGTTCTCCTACATACAATACCACCCAACTCCCAGAATGGAAGAGGCATGGAAATCTCTTCACGGGGACCAGAAACAAACAAAGCCCACCAGACTGACTCTGCCTCTTACACACCTAACAACAGAAGAGGAAGAGGGGGAAGAGGAGGCAGAGGAGGAAGAGGAGGAAGGGGTGGCAAACACCAGCATACGCTCCAGAAACATTCTCCTACTCTACTTGAGATGGTAAGGAGACATCTGGGATTATACAAGCATATTTCACCTGATTTTTGCATTGGGAAAAGAAAATTATGTTTAAATGAGTATTATCTAAACAATGCATCTTCTCAGCTGTTTTCCTCTTTTCTGTTTAGTTACTTGCCCCAGATGTCCGCCATGAGAGGAATGTCCTCCTGCAGTGTGTGCGCTATGTTGTCCGCAACAACTTCTTTGGTCTGGAGAGCAGACCTCAGCTCCAGGAGGGGATCAGGGCTACGCCAGCTATCACAAGTGGAGAATGTGAAGAGAGGCAGAAAAGGCCATCAGAGCAAGAGTCTGCCTCTAAGGTTGATGGAGAGAGAAGTTCAGCTCAAAGTGTCACAGCAGCAGAACGTGGCAATCGGGAGGATTTAGAAACAACTAAAGCTGCAGCAATTAACCAGCATTTGCCACAAAACTGTCATGGCCAGGGTTTACATACTGAACAAGCTTTCTCAGAACAATCTGAGGATCCTCGTGTGGACTCAGCGAGTGGTGAGCAGGTGGCAGGGGATTTCGTCCAAAATGGTGAGGAGACAACTGCCAGCGACTGCCGCAGCCTTGATTTGAAAGTCGCAGATAAAATCACAGCTACCTCTAATGTGTATGATGATGAAATATGGGAGAGCCCTGGTGCTGATCTGTGAAATCCTTGCAAATTACTATAATGGATTAATCTCCTGCTATAAAACACAAAACTAAAATATTCCTGTCATTCAAATTTTATGTTAATATCCTTCTATCCACAGAAATTCTGGGGATTTTTTTGTTTTCTTTTTTTTTTTAAGGAATGTCTTTTTATGTGACATAATGTTAGTATGACTAACTATCAAGTTATATTTTGTAACATATTATGTACTGAACAAAGTTGTTGTTTTTTTCCTGGTGAAATAAATCACTCTAATCAACCTTATTGATAATTACACATTTGTATTGATTTTATAAGCTTGAACTATGCATATACTGTATGTTTATCCTTTTGTATAATTGTTGAGAAATCCACATGTTCATTTGTATGTATTATCTTTGCAATAACAAAAATACAGATTTTATAGATTGATTTATATATCCATATAGCAAATTATGGTGTTCCACCGTTCTATTCAGCTAAAACACTGAGAAAGAAGCGGAGATAAACTTAAAAATGGCTTGTTTGTAGAAAACAAACCGTTCTATTGAGTAATAATGATAACCTGGCCTGTCATCCATGCTATAAAAAACATTAAATTCCACTCAAAAGTTAACAAGAAACCACGGTTTACTGTGCAGTGGCAACAGCTGCTCCGTCCACCTGGACTGGGCAAGGTTGTAAAACGAGCGCAACTACGGCAGCCGTCGCCTAGAAACCACCTGAGCCGTTCAGTTTCCAACGTTAGTGTCAACGTTCGAGTTGCAACAGTAAAGTTGACTATCGGTATGCGAGTTAATAAGTCGACTAAACTAGTTAGTTAAAGCAGTTACTGTACACGTAACTGAGAGGAAACGTCGTCGTCGTCTTTAAATAAGTAGTAACTATAAAGTCATATCATGGCCGGTAGTTGTGTTCGAGTTGACCCACCGTTTATCGACTTCAACGATGTGAAAGTCGGGCAGGTTTATAAGACAACCGTCACGGCAACAAATGTCGGCAAAACTTCGAAGAAAATAATAATTGAAAAGCCCAAATTAAAGGTAAAGTAAATATCTGAGGTGTTTTTTAACAGTTGTACGAAAGTTAAAGAATAAAAAAACGGCAACGTTAACTACGTAAATTAGAGTTTAAGCTAGCTAAATTGCTTGTTAGCTAATTAACAATTAGCTAGCCGAGAAACACATTAAGCTAGCAGTGAGGCAAACTTTAGTTATTCAAATTATGAACATTTTTGGTTTAATTCTACCACGTCCAATAATATCTGTTTATCTATCGTCTCTGCCTGTCTGTGGTCATAGTTATGTTAATATTTTTGGGGAAAAAGAGCATGTATAAATTATTTATTCGTTTAATAATTATTTTACCAGGATTATTTCGTCTATTTATCTCGTTGATAAGAGTTTTCAAGCTTTTATTAAAGAGCCCTATCTGCTTCTTTAAAAATTCTTTTTATCCACCCTCTGTCCCTAGACTATATTAACATTTGGCCAGTTAAATGTATGTGTATGTTTGTCTCTATCTTTTAAATGTGTCTCCCTCTATTTCCTTTCTATTTTTTTTTTCCCCTGCAAGTCTTTCAAGTTCACAGCAACAAGTGCATCCATGGCAGTGGCCCCTGGTCTGTCTGTAAGTGGCTTGCTGCAGTTCACTCCAGAGGAAGAGGAGGCGGTCAAAGACTGCCTTCTGATCAATATAGATGATGTGGAGACCATTGAAATCCCATTGCGGGGGTAAGCAGGACCGAACATATTGTCCACAAGAGAATGAATCGTTTGTTTTTCATAAATACACCTATATCTGTATCTTCTCCTCTAGGTTTCCCAGGGCTTGTTCCCTCCTAATGGACTCAGTACTAGACTTTGGTTGTATTAATGCCAGCAGTCAGTTAATCAGCAAACCTCATCCTATAACCAATCAAGGATCAGCACCAGGTAAATCCAGCATCTCTTTCTGGACTTCGCCCATGGGGGAAATTTTTATTTCCATTTGTGACTGGTGTGCTGTTAATATGATATATTATTATAAATTTTCTTCAATGTAGTGAGATTTGTTATGTACTAAATGCCTTGCTTCTGAAAAGCAGCTGTCAGTTGAAGAAGAAGATGAAGGTGTCTGCAATTATCTTATTAAGCATTTGGGACTATTTAATAATGTCAGTCAATGAGAATTGACATGTATGTGCATAAATGTGCGTGCGTGTGTGTGTGTGTGTGTGTGTGTGTGTGTGTGTATTGAAGGTATGTTCCAGGTGCAGTACAGTGGAGACTCCTCAGTCAGACTGTCACCCTGCAGTGGAGTCATTGCAGCTGGCACCACCCAGTGGCTGAAAGTTGAACTGTGCACAGATGGACCCAGGCAGATTGATGAGAAGGCTCTGTAAGACAGACTTTATAACACAGTAGTTCACGGAGGCACTGTGGAATGATTGAAACTACTTAAACGTAAAGGACAATATTTACTATAAAACACATCGTTCACTTTCTCTGTCCCAGGATAAAACTCCAGAATCGCTCTGCTGTAGCTCTTAGTATCAGGGCTGAGGTGGTGGACCAGCGGCTTGAGGTTTTTGACCTGCAGGTAATCCAGTGGTCCAAGTAGAATTTATTTAGTACTTGAAATATCTACATGATACTCCATTGATTCTTGAAATTGATGTTCATCTTTATTTCCTTCCACGTCCAAGAAGTTCTTGTGAGCATTTCTGTCTCTAAAAACATAATGCTGTGTTGTTACACAGGGGGCTCCACTCTCCTGTCTGTGGTTTGGACCCGTATACTTCGGGACATCCCGTGTGGAGAATCTGGTTCTGAGAAACACTGCTCCCCAGGCCTGTGACTGGGTCTGCCTGCTCCAGGATACTGCTGCTGGGACTGAGGTGGTGAGTGTTGGAGAAGTTGGTGCTGCTAAACCTGCTAAATGGGCTGATAGTAAAAACAGGTTGATATATATGTAAAAATGCATTACATTTGATTTCAAATAAGTTGCAGATGTCCTGGAATGAAACAAGTTGTGATTTCTGTGCAGGGAACAGATCTCCAAAAGAGCACAGACGCCGCCCTGCTGGAGAGAATGCAGAGGTGCAGCCATGCACGTCAGGATGTCTCTCGGGTCTTGGCGTGCGTCCCGAAGCAGGGCCGACTGGGACCATATGACACAACCACTGTAGCAGTTTGCTTCAGCCCCATTTGCAAGAGGTTAATTTTCTGTGTGTCTTTGTCTCCATGTGTCCATGTGTGTCCAAATGTGTCTGAAAACAATGAAAGTATGTTTTTAATTTCTGTATTTTATGTCAAAAAGTGACACAGTGGTCTTAACATTAATATTAAAATAACTAGTACTTGGAAATGTCAAGGTAGCAATGTTATATCTATAGAACTGTTGCACCATAAAAAATAGTATAGAAGTAATATAAAGGCAAATGTCATGAGCGCGAGAAAAAAATTACAACTCCCCGTCGGGGAATCGAACCCCGGTCTCCCGCGTGACAGGCGGGGATACTCACCACTATACTAACGAGGATGTTGTGAGTATTGTTGTGGAAATATCTCGTTTTAAATAATCCACTTCAAAAACAACACCCTGTCTCTTTCAGTGGAACTAAAAAGAAGAGGCGTAATTACTCAGCCAGCCGACAAGACTATTGTCTTTTCCTGCTGTTTGAGTCAGTGGGGAGCAGACACGGCTTCACTCACCACAGTGGTACGCACACACAACACACACACGCACACACACACACACACATACTCATGTGGCACAGCATAATCCAGATGAGCTCAGAGGAACCAGTATTTTGGTTCATGTAACTTCATTAACTGATTATTCATTGATTAATTCCCTTATAATTAAAGTAGACACACTGATATTTTTGTCTTTTTATTTTATTTGATCTTTTTTCTTTGTTTGTCTGTAGGTAACAGCCGTGTTGAACTGGGAGTGACAGGCTCTGGGCTTCCTGTGTCTCTGGTAGCCAGTCCTCAAAGATTTGATTTCCTAACCTGTGTGACGGGACAATGTGTGGATCTGCTGTGTGTGCTGCAGAACGTCTGCCCTCAACTTCCCGTCAACTTCCAATTCCGCAAAGTTGCCCATTTCACCGCCAAGCCCTCCCTGGGCTCCATAGCCCCTGGACAATGCCAGGTAGGATGTGATTGATTCAGTTATGTAATTTTAAATGTAAGCAGAGTAGTGAATGTGCAAACTCGTTTCTCTCCGTTGCTTTCTCCAGGATGTAGTTTTGTCTTTCACTGCACGGCAGCAGGGGAGCTTCCATGTGCGTCAGATACTAGATGTCTTAGGTCACGTTCTTCACCAGAGCAGAGACAACACGGATGTTACTGAACTTGAGCTTCGCAGCTTCCAAACAGTCACTCTACACCTGTCTGCTGTCGTCCACAGTGAGACCACACACGTTGTGCCCAAACTTAATCCTGGTGAATACTGAAAAAGCAACACTCTTGAAGTATATGAAGCATATGTGTGTTTCTTTGATCATTAAGTGGCTGTAATTATTTAGATGGCTAACATGCTGGTCTTGTTCAGTAGTTGTGTTTAACACTTGTACCTGTCCCGCTCTGACTGGCTGCTCTGCAGGCATCACTCCAGCAGTGACCAATCCAACCGGGTCACAGCCTCATGCTCGGTCCAGTGAGCTGGCTCAGTGTCATGTGATGGCGCGTGCTGCTGTCATCAGCACCAACCACACACGGCTTCACATACATCGCAAGGAGAGGAGTCAAAACACAGAGGGCGAGGAGTTCCTGGCTTTTCCTAACGACCGAGCCGCTAGCATCAGGCCAGCCTCTTCACACAGACAGTACAGGTAGAGATTCACACACTTTCATAGGTTCAGCACAGAGTTCAATTTGTTACTTGAATCATATTTAAAAAACTAATTTCCAAATTCTCCCTAAAATATGACATACACACCTCTTATTTAGCTTTTGACAGATAGATGTGTTTTCTAGATTTAAGACTTTGTGTGTTTCCACAACTTTCTTGTCTCTATCCACCTCAGGACCATCTTTACTGGTGTTCCCCGCTACAGCTATGTAGACACCAGCTACGCTCTCACTGAGGAGGAGGAGGAGCAGAGGCAGCGAAATCGACAGATTTACACAGACTTCATTGAACAGCTCAGACAAACACGGCTATTGAGCATCAAGGAGAGGTAGGTTTTCATA